GATTCACCTTGTAATTACATCTTCAATTTTCTAAGATTTCAAGATTTTCATATCTTTCTAAGATTACAATATGCCATCTTTCACACTTCTGCACTTGATCAAGCACTGTTGGCTGCTGTTTGCCCCTGCCATGCCAGATTGGGAAACCCCTGCAGGCTGGTATGAGTCAATGGAAGGCCCTTCAGCACCTGGGAGGTGGACGATGTTATCTGAAAAAAGTAGAAAGAAAAAAACTTTGTTAATCTACTAACAAGCTAGAAATTAGTTGCTGCAAATCCGCTGGGTCATAATACAGGCTAACTTTATGCAGTATTTCTAATCAGGCCACACCGCCTAAATTTTATGGATGATATCCTCTGAAGACCCCCAAACTAGTGCGCGCGGGCGAATAAAAAAATTCCGGCCATGGTACTAAAAAATTGTACTAAACCACGAGAATACAAAGCTGGTATTGTGAATTTGCAGCAGTACATAGCGACGTATACGACAAGCCGGCCCATGCTGGCCTTTTGTAGAATTTATGAATCGACACTGTACGTATGTACTGAGTTCTTGAGTCGTCGAGCTTCGGTAGCCTGGGTGCCATCCTCCAGAGTTACCACCGGCTCTTTATTGTCGCTAACTACTATGTACTACCCAGGCCTAAAGCCAGGCCAGAGCCCCGGAGGACGTGATCTTTTTTTTTAAACATGCGAAAATCAATGCGCGCACGGATGTCATCCGTGAAATTAAGTCGGTGTGGCCTAAGGTATAGACATATTAAAACTATTATGGATATATACAGATATTGATATAACAGATATTGGATATATTGCAATATTAAATTGTTAATGTATTACACTTGCTGAGGTTTTTCATTACATATTTTGTCAAATAAAAAGTGCTGTTTATATTCAAGTCACCCTTCCAATTAAAATCTGCTACGTTAAAATATATATTGTACATTACGACAAAATCGCCACACACAGGATTATGTATATTCTCCGACTATGCGAGCCGTCTCGTGGCATAAGGGGGAAATGTATATATATAAGTACGTGTAGTTTCATTGGCCCGATCTAGTCTGGGTAACAGACTGTCATTTTCAGGGCCTTTACAGACCAGATACCCGGCTTTAGGGCCACCATGCCTTCTCCAAGGAATTGAAATTATACCACACACCCCAATTATATACCACAAACCCCTCACACTGACTCACTCTTGACCGAGCGTGCTATGTATTGGATCTGGCATCCGCTGAAACCTTATCCTTTTATAAACAGTGACCCTGTGTTGAACAGAAGTTCAAAGTTCACCTGTTAACGGTATCTCACCTGAAGCGTACAGGTGTCATGGCGGAGGCCGTACTCAGCCAGATTTCCGGTGACTTTCTGGAGTGTACGATCTGCCTGGAGCCCTACAAGGACCCCAAGATCCTGCCGTGTCTTCACACCTTCTGTAAGGACTGTCTGAAGAAGTTTGTAGCGAAACAAGGTGAGGCGAAGGACAGGTTTCCGTGTCCAACATGTCGGATCGAAACTGTACTTCCGGAGGGCGGTGTCGCCGGGCTCAAAAACAACTTCTTTGTCCTGAGCTTGAGGGACACCGTTCAGGCTCACAAGAGTGCAGCTAGTGTGACAGACGACAAAGTAGTTTGTGATCTGTGTGAAGAAGAAGTGGCTACTTGTGGCTGTGTTGTGTGTGAAGAGTTCTTGTGTGACGAATGTGCTCGAGGCCACCGTCGCACAAAACGTACACGTGACCATGAAGTCATCGGCGTGGCAGAGCTAAAAGAGCAACTGATCACCAAGACGTCATCGGTCAAGTCGACATTACTGCCGATGTGTCCAAAACATGAAGACGAGAAGCTGAAGTTCTACTGTGATACGTGCCAGAGTCCCATCTGCCGAGACTGCACGGTACTGCAACACAAGGACCACAAATACGGCTACCTGACAGACGTTGTGAGTGACGTCAGAGCAAAGATCAAAGGCAACCTGGAAGCTGCCAGGCCAAAAATTCAGGAATACCGAGACGCTGCAGGGGTCGTGGCCAAGAAGGAGGCTGAACTGGACACCAGGAGTAAGAAAGCTGCAGACGACATCGATGCAGCTGCGGAGGAAGAGATCAAGTACTACACTGGCCTTGTCAGACGCAAGCAGACTGAACTGAAAGAAAAGTTAGCGGCCGTCACAGCAGCCCGTTCCAAGCAGCTCTCTGCTACAGCAGACAGTGTTGAGAGCACCTTAGGCTGTCTGTCCAGCACAGTGGACTTCTCACAGAAAGTCGTGGAGCATGGCAGTGACTTTGACGTCATGAACGTGTACTCTGACGTCACGGCCCGGCTGGAGTCTCTGCTGAAAGGTCCAACCCCGGGCATTCCTGACGACATCAGTTACGTCAGGTTTGATCCTCGGACGGAAAGGAGAGAAACGGAAATTATCCTTGGCGACATTGTCGGTACGTTTTAGCATTAGTACTAGTTTGTTTAGTTGTGAAACTATATACATCTAGTCAAGCACCACTTGCTGTATTGATATTATAACCTGATAGTTACACGTCAGATTCAGACTAATAACACATACCTTTTGCCAAATCACTCTGGTACTCCGAAGCAAGGAAAAAAACAGACCACGGCCACGTTCACAGCTGTGCCAGCCAGAGGTCGTCCGGCCACCACCACTCGAGGTAATTACTAACGTTACATAGTATACAGTCAGCTCTGCTCAATATATTGAGAAAATTGATTCCCCAGACAAAATATGTATAATTAACCTACTTTTTTCAGATTCTTCCTTCCGAACTGCCAAGTTGACCACCCTGGGCGCCAGCGGCCGTCTGGGCCCCACTACCCTGGGTACCCACTACAGGGGACAGGACCATGAACACCTGGTGACGCTACATGACGGGATACAACACTTCACTGTACCGGGGACGGGAACGTACAGCATAGAGACAGCGGGTGGGGACTTATCATTTGATAGTTGATATAGCCAATTTACAGCGCATTGTCCTTAATAACACCTCTTAAATAAAGTATTTGAGTCTTAATAGCCTGTGTATACAAGCTCTCGGCCGGAGGTTAATGACCCCCACCCCAAGATGGTGTGGCAACTTCGGGGCGGCCGGCCGCCAGGAGCGCGAGTAGTCAGGCTAGAGTCTTAATATTTCAAAGGAAATTTCAAGCCAGGGTATAACTTGATTCATGTATGTCGAATACTTTCTTCACTCAGCAGCTGTCTTATTTCATGGTCCATATTGTTTTATCATCTGTGCACCTAAAGGTGACTGACATGTTTGATTGACAGGTGCTGCTGCAGGGTGGGGTGTGCACAACCCGAAGTCCGCCGGAGGACGGGGTGCCGTACTGAGGGGAACATTTAACCTCAAAAAAGGTTCAATATTTCATCTGTAGTACAGGACTTCTTGGCAGAAACAATATACATAGTGTATCTTATTCAACCACCAATAGAACAGCACGTGTTACATGTTGTAAAATTAACATTATAGAGTGTACAGAAAGAGATACATGTAACTTGTTATTTGGATTATCTGCTTCCATTCCTCGGAGAAAGAGTAAGAAAAAAAAGATAATGGTACATGTATCGCCAAAATTTTTAAGATACCTACCTTCCCTTTCGATATAAGAAAGATAAGTATAATAATGGAAACTATGATGTTCCTTTTTCAATACTGCAGGTGAAACTCTGAAGATCCTGGTGGGACAAGAAGGTGCTGAGAACAAGAGGGACAGGAGTGTAGGAGGAGGGGGTGGTACATTTGTCACCAGGGGAGACAACACGCCACTCATTATCGCCGGGGGTGGGGGAGGAGCAGGGTATGGACCACAGACCCATAACCCCCTGTGTGACGGGACTGTGTCCACTACTGGTAACAAGGCTTATGGAGGAACCGGTTGTAGTGGAGGATCTAACGGACAGGGGGCGACAGGATGGAAGGATAACTACATGGGTGGGGGAGGGGGAGGGCTGCTGACGGATGGAGGGAGTTCTAAACGGTTTGGAGGCAACAGTTGTAAGGATGGTGGGGAAGGTGGGAAGGCGTTTGTGAATGGCGGGGTTGGAGGGAGTGGTGTAAATAATAATGCTGATGGTGGGTTTGGTGGAGGGGGAGGGAGTTATGGCGCCTATGGTGGGGGAGGTGGGGGAGGTGGGTACTCAGGGGGAGGCAGGGGACAGGATTGTAACCCAAATGGGGGAGGAGGAGGCGGTTCGTTTAACTCCGGTACTGACACGAGCGGTCAGGATGGGGCAAACAACGGACTCGGGTATGTGGTCATCACCAGACAGGTGTAGACATTGTTAGATAACACTTGTCACCATTTTGAGAGGCGAAAAAAATCTATATGTCAGTATATGATCATATTACCAATATTAAGCTACCAATATATCAGGAAGTATTGATAAGCTTTTTACAGAGTGCAGAATGTAGTAAGGACTTTTGTGTGGAATATGCAAGTCAGAGGTATTCTCTACTTTAGAGTACAAAATATTAGGAGTGTAATAACGCAAGGTACCAAAACATAAGAGAAAGAACAGTTTTATACTTTTGAGAAGTTGTTATATACTTAGTCAGACCCAAGTAGGCTGCTCTTGCATATTTCGTTCTGTTGACTATTGAACATCAGCAACTAAGCAAATGTACTTAAGGATTGATGAAAAGTTTGTATTCCTTTTCTTGACTTGAGGTGGTATAATATCCGAGGTACAATGAACCAGTAAATACTGCACAGAGCATTTGTTTGTTTTCTCTATCACAACCAGTGGAAGAGTAGCTCTTTAGTGCCACCTTACCAAACACGCAAGCTACTGTAAAGGACAGCAGTCCTTTATAATAAGACGGAGCACTGTTCATTGGGCTTGTCCGAAAGAGCTAGGGGAATTTTCCTGGTACAATGCACCTGTAAATAGCAACTGTATTCTCTGTCACAACCAGTGGAAGAGAAGCTCTTCAGTGAGCTAAAACAAGATCGAGAATTCAAGATCACTTTCCTTTGTATGTTTTCAAGCTCTGCAATATGCTAACCCTAACAGTTCTGTTCATGCACTGTTGACTGCTCTCTGCCCCTGCCATTCCATATTGGGAAACCCCTGCAGGCTGGTATGAGCCAATGGAAGGCCCTTCAGCACCTGGGAGGTGGACGATGTTATCTGAAAAAGTAGAAAGAAAAAAAACAACTTCTTTAATTTTACTAATAACCTAGAAATTAGTTGCTGTCACATCATTATACAGGCTTCATGCTGTAGTTCTATTTTGGTATAAACAGTTCAGTTTAAAACTGATAGTAACTATGTACAAACATTAAAAAGGCATGTTTAGACATCCAGGTAAACAATACTCATAGGAAACACAATCTCTACTACTGGATATTATTTCCATAATCTATCCAGTAGTAGGGTTTGAATTTCCTATGAGTATGTATAAAGGCAAAATTGTGAATTGGTAGACCAACTGGCCTTTCCATTGTTGGCAAGATAGAGGAATTGTAACAGTTGTAGCTATTCAAAAGTGACAAACTGAGAAAGTAACAATCTGAACCCACCTTAACTGCAACATAGTCGCCTGCTTTCATTGGTGCGCACTTCTGACCTCCGACCTCTTCAGGGATGTCCATATTAGGTATGATGACCTTAGTGTTCCCATCATTCCTGCCAGCCAGGTCACTAGGGGACTTTTTGCTGAGCTGTGCAGAAAATAACAATCTTGCTTTATAAATGTATAAATCATACTGAGATTAGAATAGATAGGCTTAGCTACCATAATAACCCGATATCCATGATCCATGTGTAATATTCTACATTGGCCTCTAGCATGAATAGTGTTCACTATATGTAAAACACTAATGGAGATTTTAATTAAAATTTTCTGTTAATGTAATGGTCCTGCATTTCTGCACAAGTTCTCTAGTGTCACTGATGAAAGGTAGTGGATGCTACCTGAAACGTCTGACCATTTCCAAAATCATATTCAGTTGCTTGAGTAACTTTTGGGGGGGGGGCGTAAAACTCACCCCTTCCACCAGCACAAGATGGACTTGTCCAATTTTTTCTGCGTTGGCCTCTGCCATGCCCTGCCTGCAGACATCGATCAGTTCTGCTAGGCGGCGCTGTTTCACACCTGCTGGCACGTCATCCTCGAGTTTGTGGTAGGCGTGAGTTTTCTGTGCAGAAACAAAAATCATGCACCTCTGAGCATCACAGATAGTTAAGGATACAGCATACGAACACAGAATACCTCAATCCTTGGTTGATTACTCTGGTACTTAAAGGCCTGTGTCTGTAATGTACTGTACTATCTGTATTGCTGGTATGACTAGGGCAAAACATACCAGCTTTGCAAGCACATGGTGCAGCGGTAGCTGGCTATAGTACCCCTAACACATTATTACACCTAGTATTTGCACATTTAACTCTAAAATTGTTTAAAGCTATCTAGTGATGATGCCCCTACTATACTTGGTGGCAAAGAGTTATCCACTCTGAACATTTAGAACAAATTGAGTTACCACATTTCATCTTTCAGCTCTCTAAAAAGCATTGAAGGCCTCTATTTTGTTTTCTAAGTGTAACAAGGGAGCACTTTCTAGCTGTGAGAAAAAATGATTGAGAAAGAATAAAATTCAACAGGAAGTTACTTGAGTATGATATACCTTTCTCATACTATAGGCAAACAGGTAAGCGTTGTCATATCGGACTTGTCTGGCCAGCGACAAGGTCTGATGATGGTCCTCCTCAGTCTCCCCACAGAACCCAACTATGAAGTCACTGGACAGGGAGACATCTGGGCAAAATAAAGATACGAGCCATGACATGAATGTCAGTATTTTAGTACATGTATGTGGTGTAGTGTGGATTCAATCCTTAAGCTAACCAACATCTTTCACAGCATAGTCGTCCCTCACTTAGACATCTGGAGCCGCATTGTTTCCATTTAGAACCTCACTTTCAATGTCAGGCTGAATAAAATTTCTAAACGGAAACAATGTGTCTTACTGAGAGACAACTGCTATAATACAAAACATTAAGATGATTCTTAACACCTTTTGTCAAGGATAACTTATTGCAAATCAATTAGTGAAAGCAAATTTACCTGTATTTCTTATACACTGTATTGAAATTCTGTGTAGTAAGACTACACTGGGACATTATAACACATGCCTACACAGCTCCAATTTTACCTGCCCTAACATGCTTATACAGGTGGTGTTTTGAGCCCTGACAATACTAGCAGGCACAGCTGACCTGGAATGAACTCCCTGACGCATTGCATATCTTATACACTGTAGTGAACTTCTGTGTGGTAAGACAACACTTGGACATTATAACTGGGGCATTTCAACACTAGTATTACTATTAGCAGGCCCAGCTGACCTGGAATGACCTCCCTGACGTGCTGCACCAGCTCCAGGTAGGCCTCGCGGGTGTGGTTCCTCCGCATCCTCTGCAGCACCTGGGACGAGCCACTCTGCGCAGGCAGGTGCAGCTGGCTGCAGATGTTCTGCCTGTCTCGGATCAGCTGCAGCACCTGGAAGCATACATGATGATATACGAATTATGATCATCAGAATGTGTTGATGATGGTCAGACATTTAGTAGATCTCGAAATCCTTTTTTTCTGCACACTTGCACTAGTGCAGGTAACATTGAAAATGACCTGCTCCAGACAAATGTTACCTACACCACTCAAAAGTATGGATCATACTAAAAGCTGTTCAGATACAACTGTGGCTCAGTGCAGGTTAGGTGCAGGCAGACATCAGAAATACCTGCTCAGCTCCTATTCTACCTGCACTAAGGTGCATATGCACCCAGTACTTTGAGCCCTGTCCAGGAAAGAGATATACTATACCTGGTCAACTGTTCCATAAGTAACTGGATAGGTTTTGAAAACAGACGTTTCAGGTAGAATCTACTATGAAAGTGTGGATGCTACAAAATGTAGCTTTAACTTTAAACTTTATATATGGCTGGATAGAAAGACATGTCTACAACTCACCTCATCAGGAAAGTCCTTAGGATGTGGGGAGACAAACCGGACTCTCATCTCTGGGTCCACCTGCGACACTCTGTCTAACAGGGCAGAAAAACGCAGGCCTCCTACAAGGAGAATACAGGGGTAACTCTTTGTATATATAACTTGCACCTCCTACACATTTCCAAAACATTCATGGAAAACATTCACGTTCCAGATGCCAGTGAAGCTCAAGAAAACACTTTCTGCATGTCTGTGAACTCAAAGGTCAACTTTCTGGATGTGTATGAACTTGAAGGTCACAACAACCAAAAATTCTTCCTGAAAGTCTGAATTCACTGATTTCTTGTTCTACATTCTACATTGAAGGAGCGAAATTTGATCTGTAATTTTCCCTTGAACTGAGAGGAACACTATCTGTTGTGTACATGCATGTATCTGTAAGTGTATCAAGGACAGACGTAAATTTAAGAACTGTGTCAATTGCCACCTCAGTGATACCAGTCAGTGCCCAGCAAGGGGACAGCTGCTAAGCTGAGGCACTGTACACGTGTTATGCATAGGAAAAAAAGTGGGTGCACATCCCCCATACCCTTCTTGTTCCTGTAGATAGTGCCAAACCCAGCGCTGAGGTTGGTAGGCCTGTCTGCCAGCTGATGCTGCTGCTCTGACATGTCCCTGTAACTGTTGACGTTCTGTCCCAGCAATGTCACCTCTTTCACACCCTGCAGAAACAGAAAACAATCCTTGAGCGTTTTGACAAGGGTAACAGCCTTGAACAGGACTACTTTCCAAATGAAATAAATTTTCTGTGCACATGTAAGTGCTACTGGTATCTATAGAGTTCTACCACATTTGTGGAAGGACTGACATGAATAAGTGGTGACTACTAGTATCTCTGATGATATGTCAACCCTGAGATCAGACTGAGGTTTGAACCACTCACACCGGAAAGGACCCTTGCTCTTTTTTTTATAAGTGTGGATCTTTAATAAAAATGTGCTTGAGGTGTAGCTGTCCTCAAATGCAGGACTTCTGGTTTTACATCCATCCGAGAGGACCTCCCTCACTGAAGCTAGGTACTCATTCACACCTGAGTCAAGTGATAAGATACATGTAGGTGCCTAAAGGTAAAATACTGGGGCCTGGCCTGCTAGGGATTCGATCTCAGAACCTATAGATTCTAAGTCAACAACCCTAACCACAAGACCAACTTGCCACCTAAACACTCTTGATTAGTCCTCTGATCTAACCTCTGACATTAATTCTTAATTCTCAATTGTACAGTATGAAACAGAAGACTTAGTACAGATTTACATACATGTACAAGTACTACTTGTACATGTATGTAAATCAGTTGGGGAGCTTCAGTTAGGGAGATCCTCTTGGACGGATGTAAAACCAGAAGTTCTGCATTTGAGGAGAGCCACACCTAAAGCAGGTTTGAAAGATCCCATCACATGTATTACTAGTATCCTTGAAGATTATCTCCATAAAGGGTCTAAAGGGTATTTCGATAAACTAATAAACTAAACCAGTACCTGTCCAGACAGTGCCCAGACCTCCTCCAGGATTGACCTGATTGGTCGACTCCTCTCCCTGCCGCGGGTGAAAGGTACGATACAGTAGCTGCACATGTTGTCACAGCCCCGCATGATGGAGCTGATCGAAGAAACAAAAAAAATCAGAGAGATTTCAAATCAGGGAAGAATGGAACAAACCACATTACACTGGCTATACACTCAGTTACTCTGGTGACCTAACTTGCATTTCTGATGTCTACCTGCGCCTTACCTGCACTGGTCCAATTGTACTGGGTTTATACAAGTGTATATGGATTTTCATTTGTGTATGGACTGGTACCACCTACATGTTGGACGAAGTAGAAATACAATGTAATGCCAATAGTATGATCCATACTTCATAAATTCTAAGAGGAGTAGGTAGAATTTTTCAGTAGTATAGGGAATATTCATTGTTACCTGTACCAGTGCAGGTATGGAGAAAAAGTATTTGAGCCCTGATATGTACAGCTAGAACTTACACAAAGGCTGTAGGTGCCGCTGCGTTCATCCTAACAGGCATGACATCAGCGTATGTCTCCTCCAATGAGAGCACCACGTTGGCAGCCCGTTGCCCGGACGACGTGAGTGACAGCAGCCTGGGAAGGTCCCTGTAGGCGTCGGGTCCGGCGATCAGGTCCACTGACTTTTCTCTCTCCAGCAAATCCTTCTTCAGTCTCTCAGCCATACAACCTGTACAATAGAGGGTTATTATGGACTATCAAAACCCAACAACTGTGTAATCCACGACTGTGTGAATAAAAAGTAGGCACCAATACTAGTACTCCCCTCTTCTGTTAGTAATACATTAAACATACCTTACTAATACTTTTTCACAAAGCAGTTTTATGCTTCAAAAAGTTGAAGTCAAGAGAAACAAACTCATTTGAAGCATAACCACATATACTGGGCAAAAGAGATTAGATACTGGCATTCATCTAGCTTTATACTCAAATTATAGGCTGGGTGGCATACAATTTGCTATGGGGCTCTTTGCACTTGCTGGCCAAAAATATCAAGGAGTGCCAATATATACGCCCCATAGCAAATCGGACAGGACCCAGGCTAGGACTTTACCAGACTCTTTTGCAGGCTGAATAAATAGTAAAAATCGGCCTATTATATATAAAAAATAATGTAGCTAGCCAGGGGAGTTGGCTAGCTGGCCCAGTTTGCAAACCTCTGGCGAGCTACATTCTTTTTAGGCTGATTTCTACTATTTATTCAGCCTGCAAAAGAGTCTGGTGGAGACTATGATGACTCTTACCCAGGACACCGACTTTCAGAGGTCTGTTTTTGCCCCTCCTGGTCTTCATGGCACGGAACTGCTGCAGTCGGGTCCAGATTTTCTGCTCTGCGTTTTCCCTGATCGCACACGTCACCGCGAGGATCACATCTGCATCTGGGAAGCAAACAGAAGTGCTTTTTGTTATACATGAATGTGTCACATTAGCTGCACAAGAATTGTAAGATAGTCGATATATGGTTGATAATCTGCTAAATATTCCTGTCTTATGCTGCATGTGGCCTTAGGCTAATTTTTGACCCACCTGGAAGAAGAATTGACAATTGTATATTACAAACGTCACCTGCACCCTATTTGCTAACTACTAGTCTAAAGAGGTCAACAAACTTAATGATATTGGAATTTAAAAACCATTATCATGTAACTGTATTGAGTTAAATCAAAGTTCACTTAGTTGCATCAGGATTATCAAACACAAAAGTTTATGATGCAATGACATCATATAAAATGCAAGAACGCATACTGTATTCCTTTGATATAAGTAACAGTTAAGCTAAATATATAGGGATAGTTACCGTTAACTGATTCCGTCCTCTGGTAGCCACTGTCCTTCAGAACGGACCAGGCGATTTCCGTGTCACTGACGTTCATCTGACATCCATACGTCTCGAAATAAACCTTCCTCCTTCCTCCCCAAACATCGTTTTCGTTCAAGTATGGCACTGTGTCTTGTTCCCCGATCTCTACTGGTCTCAATTCTTCTACCGAGTGTTTCAAAAAGTCTTGTAATGACGGACCATCCTGCTTTAACTTCGTTGAAGTTGAAGAGTTTGTTGTTACTTTGTCGGAACCGTGACCAGCACAGCAAGTTCGAATAATTTTTTGACCTTGTAACTTTTGTTGTACAGACCAATAAGGTCGCATAGAAGCGATTAGGCTCAGTCTTAAACGTGTAGAATACATCTTTGGTTTGTCAGGAATTAAATAGGCGCTTTCTGTGGATCATAAAAAGTCAGGATCGACCACACGAGGAGTAAACTTAAAACGTCGACTGCAGCTTGCCAAAAATTCACATGAAGGCGGCCATCTTGGAAATAAATCAACCCGTTTTGCGGCAATAGCTGCTAGTACCAATTTATGCAAATATCATGAAGTTTTGCTAAATTTTAGGCTTATTGTTATTGCCAGCATTGTTTTTAATGATCATTTCAAGAGGAATAAGACTCTTTGATAGCCTTTACTCGAATAAAGCCACAATAACTGTCGTAAAACTATCTATGTATGCTTTGGCGGGAAAAGGAAATTCGTCTCTACAAAATCGACCAATCACAAAGCGCGAAATCCGACCGTCCTCAAATCTGACCAATCAGAGAGAAGAAAGTTGCGGCATTAATAAGGGGCAAATCATTATTACTCCACTGAGCAAACGGGGAACTGCTTATTTTAGCAAAGTTATACCTTTTGACCAGATTTTTTTCATGGAAACTTTGAGTGTTAGATATTTGATATTTACATTTGTTAGTAAATGCGCTAATGATCGTACATTACATTAATGCGGGACCAAGTTTGTTTATCAATGGATTATCCCTGAGACATATAAACCCCCACATTTTCCCTACCAGCTCAAATATGGCGGCAAGGAGCTGATGAAAACACTCTTTCTATTGTGCAAGCGAACTTTTTCCCGTCTGGCAGCCGAATCCCCGGACACATTCCAGCCAAATTCGACCAGCAGAAGCGCATGAGCACCGTCTTTCTACCGACAAGGATTCTAGCTCGCAATTTCGCCGGAATTTCCAGAAAAATGGCCAAAATCATCAAGCTCGACGATGGTGAGTATCAGCTCGGATACCGCTTGGCGCGCTCTCCACGTGGCTAGCCAGTTTTTCGCCAAATATACCCGATATGTCACATATAACCGCACGTATCAATTCTAGATACGCTTATATTTCATGTACAAAAGTATATAAGGTTGTAATTTGAAGTGTGTGGTTGAAATTGTGAGAAAATGTGGTGGTAGACCGCGCGGCCCCGAAATGCGCCCAGGTCCTTTCTTCTGGACATGACGTCATGCTGACTAATGTATTGCGTTGCATCCTGGTTGCGCCAGGTGGGGAGAGGCCCGCTGCATTGTTCAGCTGTTTGTGTCTTTTGTTCTCAAGCAAAACTTAGAAAAATTATGACAAAGTCCTGGTTTTTTAGTCTTTATTACTTTCCTTTTGAGAAATATTTTTTGGGGTACATTCATTTAATATTAGAGCTTGCAACTCTTTGCTGTAACAATTATAAATAAGTGCTAGAACCTTGAAGTAAAAAAAGGTTGGGTTTCCTTGAATGACTGGTGTTTTGATTTTGTTGGAATGTAAAACTTCAATCTAGTCAAATTGTTTTTGCTAGAAAGAATACTTATATTTTCAATTTGCGTGTACCAAAAAAAAAAAATTATCAATAGATCCAAGAAACTGGATATTTTGTTTAACCTACTTCCTCTTACTCTTAGAATAGTTTCCTTGTATTTGACTTCCTTGTCAATATTGGAAATAGAATTCAAAATCTAAATGGTTGCATCAACACAACATAACTTACAAATGGAAATTTTATAAGTTTTCTACCTCCAAATCCAGAAATTAGGCCCAAAATCTTTTGATCCACCCATGGACATTATTATGTAACCACATTTATTCAAAGATAAATGCTAAAGCACTTTTTATGACTTTATGGAAAATGTCAGATGTAAGCTGGCCTTTTTAGCCATGGTTACAGTAATCATGATTCAAAACACTTCTCAATCCAAGGATAGCTTTGACTTCTCAAGTGTCAACCTCTGGTGTGTAACCAAGCCAAGGTTTGCTTTTACTTTTTAGTTTTAGTTAAGTAAGACCAATGTTGATAAACTTCAAAGTAGAAGGTTAAGTTGTCAGGAGTATAGGTAGCCTGGGTGCCAGACAGCTTTCCAGGGCCTACACAGGCCAGTTCCTCAGCTCCAGCCAGGGCTAACATGTCTCAGTGGAAAGTACTAGTACAGTCAGGACTGTATACGGTACCTCAGTCAGGCCTAGTCTCTACCAGACTCCTTTGCAGGTGTTGGCCAATTTGTCCTACTATGGCTGGCTAACTCTCCTTGCCAAATCGCAATAATATATAAATAACATATCGTTATCCTTTTTGAGGCTGGTTTCGACTATTTATTCAGCCTACAAAGCAGTCTGCTAGAGACAGTTAGGCCTTGCACTCTGGTGTGGCTAACTCTGGGCCTACTGTACTGTTCTATGGGTCCTGACATCCAGGTTAGAGTGAAGGCCGATTTATGCCTGAAAGTAACCTGATATAGGTTTGATAAAGGTCAGGGTGCTGCAGTTATGTGATGCAGCTGGCTCCGTCTTCTGTTACATAAAACTTACGCAACAGATGGTTCGACTCATGAGTCACACTGGGTGTCCCTAAAGCTAATAAAAGTACACAACAGGATGCCAATTAACTACCTTCATATGTAATAAACTCATCATAAGCTACAGATAAACGGCTGTTCCAGTAAATCAAATTAAAGGCAAGATGTTGGGAAAAGATGGGTTAGGTACGGTGGTAGCGACTGTGGGAGCGGACGTAAACTAACCAGGATGGTACCCAGGCTAGGTTAGGTACATGAGGCCTAGGAAAAAAAATGTTGTGTTTCCTGTTTCAGCCTGAAAAAATTGGTTGGTAGGTAGGGTAATTTTCTTTTTTTTAGACTTAAGTGATATTTATTTTTGGGTCCAACTTATACAATACAGTTTAACAAAGTAAAACTTGCATGAGGACACTTTTATTTTCAATGTCAATGTTAGATAACCAATTGTACAACCGTTTACAACGTTTTATCACTTAGGCGTCAGATCATGGAGCTAGAAAAGGTTGATCAGCTCGAATAAGTATGTCCCTTGCCGGGGTCCACCCAAAAAAGTTGGCAGGTTTGTCTGGGTTCAGTCGGGAAACAGGAAACGCGACATTTTTTTTTCCTAGGCTTGAGGGAAGAGGTACATCTAAGGGTCAAACTGCTAATTTGTTACAAAGGAAGAATTGTACATGTATCTTCAAAATATTTTACACCTTCAAATTCCATAGTCCCTGGCTCCCTGCTATTAAAAGAAGTCTGTTGAAGAACATATATTTGAAGAGTTAAAAATAAAAGTCAGACTTGCAGTACTTGGGACAAAAGTTCAGTCACTGGTAGTGCCAAAGACATTTTTACGTGTCGTTTGATCTCGTTGGAATGTCTGTGTCTAAGATCAAGTGTGTAGCCTGGTCTGTCCCAGCCCAGTCAGCTGTGTAACTTTGCCTATCAATCAAACCTCACCTTTCCTTGACTTGAGGCTTGGTCTAGACGCTTGTCTTTGTGAATCTCTGCTACAAATCTCATTTCCACAGACAAAATGTCTTAGTAGAACATTCATCGATCACTATCAGTGACTGTTTTTGAAAGGTAAAACACGTACCTCCAAATTGTTTTACCTTTCAAAAACAGTCAATGATTGATGAATGTTCTACTAACTGTTCATCTTCTTACGTGACTGAGGAACCTCTTTAACGACAATTGTCTTGTTTTTCATTTTGAAGCCTGACACACAATTTTATGAAAAGCAAAGCAACTACATCATGCTGTTGCTGCAAATGATGATGATGATTACAGCATGTTTTTAGGTTCTTAGTAAGTTTATGCCAGACGTCTTAATTTATTGGATCTCTCACTTTTTCAGAAAACTTTAAGGTATGAATTGACATGGGGAATGGAAAATTAAAATCTTGAAGTACGGATTGATTAAATTGGTGTTCAGTTCAGTTCAGTTCATCCTTCAATCAGGTGACACGATGTACTGCCTCCACAAGTTCCTGTCACGCATGACAGAGGACAGTTCAGCACCGCCCAGCCCTATGTCCCCCTCTATCACCTTCTTCAGAGTTAAAGAAGGGCGACCGCGTCTCCGCTTTTCTGTTGGTGACCAGAGAAGTACCAACCCTGCCATTTCGTCGTGTTTGGTGTGGATTATTCATATCAGCTAATAGCACATCAATGACGTAGATTGGTACTGGGTAATTCAGCAGTATTACATGTACAATATTTGTGCAGTAAACAAGCAGCATTGTTAACATTTTCAGTGACATTTACTTGGTCAACAGAATGTCTTGAGGCAGTTGAAAGTCACCAGGGATCAGTGAAGCTTGAGTGTTTAATGTGTTTACCACACTGATATCTCTCACTGAGTCAGACAAGAACTGTTTGAGTAATACAATGAACATGCACTGTACCAGTTTATTATAATGCTTAATGAAGTGATATATTGACTCTGGATAAAAAATGTGTCTGCTAATATTATATTAGCTGTACATGTATATGCATAATTACATTACATCACATGTACAAATGTACTACTAGTTGAGATAAACCTTTATATTTTATGATATCAACATAATTCTACATCTGCAGTTTTTGTTATGTCCATATGGTACAGTGTATATTTGGTTTGTGGTAAAGACTATATAAATAGTATATACTACTAGACATGTAGGTGTGCTTACGTCAAAGAAAAGATCATGAAAAAAATTTGCTACTTCCTCAAACCATGAAAGGCAACCAAATCAACCAAACCAATCGCTGTGTCCAGCTGTTGCTATGGTAACCAGCACAGTGCGTAAACGCACTTCCTGTTCTGTAATTCGATATTCCTTATGCAAGCGGTGTAGGTGTACAGGTTACCATGGTGCTGGAAACATGTATTTTTATTGGCACTGCTTCCTTATGTTGGCAAGGAAGTGTGTAGGAAAAGAATAAAAAGGTGCAAATATACTGGTAAATTACCATAGTTTTCATGAACAGAGCCATGTATTGACTATTGTACCATATCACATATCCATGCTACATTACTACAATGTACATTTTGTAGGCAAACACACATATTTAATATAAGGATTTTTAGTAACCCGCTGCTTTTTAATTCGTCTGCTGCATGTAACATACTATTGGCAAACCGCCAGATTAGGGTTTTGCAAAACCCTCTGGCTTTAATTTGTCTAGTCTGCTTGCACAGAACCATGAGCAAGTAATGATCACAAGTCAAGGATAGCTTGGAAGAAATTCATCATATTATGACTGGAACTCAGCCAGCACAAGGCCCTGTAATGCACTGTTTATATAAAGCTCTAAGTCTAATGCTAAAAGAAATGCACAGAATGTAGTCCTGAAGCTCACAGCTTTATCTGCACCATTGTTAGACTCAGAGGCAGTATCTTGATCTCAATAACAAATTTGGTTAGAGGGTGGGATGCTCCTGTGTTGGGCTGTTGACAGTGGTAACCATAGTGCTGTGGGTTACTTCATTTCCTTGTTGTGAGTCTGTTTTAGCAACAGTAATTTTGTTTTCATCAATGATTCATGTTTGTAAAATTTTCAGAGCAGATTCAGCTTTGCTTCAAGAATGCTCTGTTGACTGGTCATGTTGCTGACTTTGCTGACCCTTTCCCTTTAACCTCTGACAAAAACTGCCCTTTATCCCAGACATGATCAAGAAGAAGCTGTCCATGTCTTTGATGACTCTTTAACCTCTGACATTCTGAAAACTGACCTTTTAATTGCCCTTTAAGTTTAACCAAGACATGATTGAGAAGCAGCTGTCCATGGCTGCCAAGAGCCTGCAGGATTACCCTTTACCTTTAACCTCTGACATTTTAAACTGACCTTTGCCCTTTAACCCAGACATGGCCGAGAAACAGCTGTCCATGGCTGCCAAGAGCCTGCAAGATGACACTTTGCCTTTGACTTTTTCCCTTTGAAAACTGACCTTTGACTTGCTGAAAACTGACCTTTGACTTGCTGAAAACTGACCTTTGACTTGCTGAAAACTGACCTTTGACTTGCTGAAAACCAACCTTTGCCCTTTAACCCAGACATGATCGAGAAGCAGCTGTCGATGGCTGCGAAGAGCCTGCAGGCAGGGAACATCATCGCCGTGCCGACGGACACCATCTACGGCCTGGCGGGGCTGGCGCAGTCCACCGAGGCCGTGGAGCAGATCTATGCCATCAAGGGCCGCAACACCAGCAAGCCCATCGCCATCAGCGTCGCAGAGGTCACCGACATTCCAAGGTCGGGGACTAAGTTACAGAAAATGAAATACTTTTTCCTGTAGCTATAGATCTAGAAATTAAAAGGAATTTGGAAGATTTAATGACTACCAGTGAGTATTTTTCTGTGTATGTGGAGTGGGGTTTTATGTCCTTCATACTTCAGAATTTGAAAGTTTAGTCTTTACGTCTTGTAATACTTTCTTCTGGGGCCATGACAAACCAGCCCCCTGAAAGCATTTTGAGCCCTATGTCCCTAGTTCGAATAAAACTTGGATGCACTTAACAACAACTTCTCCTCTCATACTATCATGAAAGTTCATCTGCGTTGGTAATTACATGTTTAGAGTGAAAACTTTGGATCCAAAATTCTCTCACCTCGGTAGGTGAGAGGAGTTTTTTGTGTTGGATCTAAAGTTTTAACTCTAAACAACTTCTCTCCACCCTAGATGGGCGCGGCTGACAGTCCCCATGGAGCTGCTCCAGGACCTCCTGCCCGGCCCGGTAACCGTGGTGATGCAGCGCACCGCCGCCCTCAACACCAACCTGAACCCGAACACGGACCTGGTGGGCATCCGTGTGCCGCAGCACAAGTTTATGAGACAGCTGGCAGAGACCTGCATGGAGCCCATCGCTCTCACCAGCGCTAACACCTCAGCTGCTGGGAATACTATCGACATACAGGTGAGTTGGGGATAGATCTTTGTCTGTATCCCTATCTGTATAGCCTTTATAACCGCCTTAGTAGCACAAGTTCATGAGACAACTGGCCGAGACCTGCATGGAGCCCATCGCTTTAGCCAGCGCTAACACCTCTGCTGCAGGGAACACTATCGACATTCAGGTGAGTTAGGGATAGATCTTTATCTGTATCCCTATCTGTATAGCCTTTATAACCGCCTTAGTAGCACAAGTTCATGAGACAACTGGCCGAGACCTGCATGGAGCCCATCGCTCTCACCAGCGCTAACACCTCTGCTGAAGGAAACACTATCGACATACAGGTTAGTTAGGGATAGATCTTTATCTGTATCCCTATCTGTATAGCCTTTATAACCGCCTTAGTAGCACAAGTTCATGAGACAGCTGGCCGAGACCTGCATGGAGCCCATTGCTCTCACCAGCGCTAACACTTCTGCTGCAGGGAACACTATTGACATTCAGGTTAGTAGGTTTATTGATGTACGTATTGTAGATACTGGGATGGAAGTATTGGTTTGGGTGGTGCTGGTTTAGGGGGTTGAGCCCATCTCAGCACAAGTTCATGAGACAGCTGGCTGAGACATGCATGGAGCCCATCGCTCTCACCAGCGCTAACACTTCAGCTGCTGGTAACACTATTGACATTCAGGTGAGTTGAGGATAAGTCTTTATCTGTTTCTCTATCTGTATAGCCTTAGCAGCACAAGTTCATGAGACAGCTGGCTGAGACATGCATGGAGCCCATCGCTCTTACCAGCGCTAATACCTCCACTGCTGGCAACACTATTGACATTCAGGTTAGTTGGTTGTAGATAGCATTGCTGATGTAAAGGCATGTGTATTGATTACTTCCTTGTTTTGAGCAGCGTTAGTTGAGGGAAGTTTGTATTTATAATACTGTTTTTTTCTTTACATACAACCAGTAATGTCTCTCAGCTGCTTATGTTACAATGCCTGTCAGACAGCTTCTTTAGAGCTTCTGACTAGAGTGCTGCTTCTCGCTGCTATATCATATGTAGCTGCCGCTTACATCACCTATACAGTACCGTTCGCGTTATAGTTAACCGGGTACCCCGTTACTAACGAGTTATTTTTTCGTCAGAAAATGGTTAGAAAATCGTCAGTATTTGGTTAGATTTTCGTCAGAAAATGGTTAGAAAATCGTCAGAAATTATTTCTAACGCGTTACCGTTTGCGTTAATGTGATAGGGTCGGATTTCATGTTTGTTTTGCGCGCCGACAAGACAATAGCAATTTGCCACCTCCTGGGGCGTCCGCTAATGTGTTGCGATGTTGCCCCTTGAAAAATAACAGCACCAGAGGCAAGTGGACATGTGATTCGTAAAATAACTTTGTGGTTTATCCATGTGTCGACTGTGTGAAGCGAATTGTGCTATCTTTTAATGCTATTCTATAGTTATTTCTAGCGGAAAATTACGTTGTGTAATACAATGTATGTCAACAAAGTGTAGCAGTGGGCAGACGATGTCTTGTACATTTTGTACCAGCGGCGGCCTACCGCTCTCACAGGACGTCATGGGACGTGACGAAACAAGAAATATCTGCCGTAGAAGAAATATAAATCGGTAACTCATGCCTTAAATTCACGGCGGTTTTTGACACAAAAGAAAAATTATTATAATTTTTGTAAGGCGCGCGGCTTACTAGTACTAGCGGCTTTAATACTCACGGTAAAATGTACCGTCACTCCCGGGCGCAAGGACTCGGTTCGCCAGCTGAGGACTTTCCACAACCATGATGATATCATAGGTAATAAAGGAATATATAATAGATCTATCATGTGGAAATGATAATTGTAATACATGGTTCTATTTAATAGCGGTAGTTTCGTTTCTTATTTTGAGGGGGGAAACTGTCAAAAATCGAGGGAACGCAAACTGAGATCGGCTCACTTCCGGGTGCATAACGCCAAAATTTCTCGACGATTATATAAAAATGACCACTCATTTGCCGCCTACGGTAGCGTGTACATGGTAGTGCGATCATATCGTGCCAAAGTCAGCGTCAAACGTCAGAAAATCCCCGTAAAAAATATAGTTGCAAAACACATTTCCCGCGCACTCAGGGCCGGTCGCCCTGGCCGCTGCCGCCCTGTGTGCAGCATGCTCATTATAATATGCAAGTAGCTACGCTCTGATTGGTTCACCTTAGATGACCTGCGCTGTGATTGGCTAGAACGAAGCCCGTTGCATGCTGGGGCGCCCTTCCCCGCGCGAAATGATCTCGAGAGAGCCACATTTACGCTGGTTTCTACCTTATTTCTACGACTAATTAGCAACATCCTAGTGACGAAATGCGTACTCAAAAGAATTTTCGGGAAAAAAAATATATGTACATGTGGATTTGTGGTGCCTTTGGCGTAATTTTGTTGGTCACATACAACGTAATGTAACACGGAAGTGCATGGAGTCGGAGTGGCGGCACGGCTTTCCGTCCCACTCTAAACAAAACTCCAAGGACATAACAAAACTCCCCAAAACTGGTCAATAATTAGCCATAAAAATGTTGGTGGGCACGTGTAAATATGCTGCCTTTTTTCGAGTGTTATAGGAATTTTCCACGATGTTTTTGCACATCCCTAACGTTACCTCACGCCCGCCGCCTATTATGTACGGCGGACCGAGGCATTTATAACTTCAGATCATCTAGGTTTGCTTATTCGGTGGTAAAATAAGTTAACAGAGAAAAACAGCAAAACAAAGTTGACAAACTATAGAAACGCTTGCCTGGGCAACAGTGACAAAAGAAAATGTCTATCTAATTGAATTGCGCCGGTGATCGTAAAACGTTTTAAACGTTACAATATAGTAAAATGCAGGCTAGATCAACGTTCCTTCCGCTGTTCCAGCGGTGTGTATCGGTAATTTCCCGCCCCGCATGAGGTAAATTAGTACTCCTCCCATTATTCTGTGATGTTACCGCGGCCTGCATATGAATGCAGAAGTCTAACGGAAAAGTAACGGAAAACTTACGCGAAAGTTACGGAAAACTTACGGAAAAGTAACGGAAAAGTAACAGAAAAAAAACGCGTTAGTAACGGCCGTTAGGGTAACTATAACGCGAACGGTACTGTATGTAGCGGCAAGAAGCAGCACTCCAGTTAGAAGTGCCTTGGTTTTTAACTGTTGCTTGTTCTATCCATGACTGATACAGGAGTTTGAGAACCTGTGGCCCCATCTGGACTTGGTATTGAATTTTTGTGAACAAAGTTTTTAACTGTAGCTTGTTTTTATCCTAACAGGAGTTTGAGAACCTGTGGCCACATCTGGACCTGGTGTTGAATTTTTCTGAACAAAGACTGCCATCAGGTCTTAAGTGTTGTACAATATTCCTTATGTTTAGTTTTTAACCGTTGCTTGTTCTATCCATGACTGATACAGGAGTTTGAGAACCTGTGGCCGCACCTGGACCTGGTCCTGGACGGGGGACGGCTGGAGACCACTCAGGCCGTCCGCGAGGGGTCAACAGTGGTGGACCTGTCTGTGGAGGGGCAGTTCAGAGTGCTGAGAGTCGGATGGTTAGTATACAACACAGATTTTTGTTGTTGTCGATTTAGACATCTTAAGATATCAGTAGACCTTGTGAGATAGTTGAGTTTATGTGTATCTTTTTTTGTGTGTGTTTATTTGCTGAGAGTTAGATGGACTGTATACAACACAGCTTCTTTGTGTGTGGATGTATAATAGACATTGTCCTCAGATCACAGAAGACCTTGTGAGATATTTGAGTTTACGTATTTTGGTGGAAAATACTGTTGAAAGTTACTGGTGAAAGTTACATTCATGATTGTGTACTGCTAATCTAAAAAATGGTACTGATAGTGTGAAAAAGGTACACAGAATGATGGTGAATGTATTGATTTAAAAGTTGAATGTGTTACTTAATGTTAATTGGAAACATCTTCAACAGTATTGAAAAGTTGCAGTTGTGCTGCAAATGTTGTACAGAAGTTAGACACCCACTCAATTCTGCAGTGTCTAGAACACACAGTCAACTATCCTTGTCACCCCTTTTGTTAATACCCTGACAGTTTCAAGCAATGGTATGTTTGTACAACTGCACAGAAGTTGTAAAGAGTTTGTGTTATTGGCTTACTTGCCCCTGATTCCACATCCTATCAGCCAGCAAATGCAGCAAAGTTGCTGAACTAGTTTGAGCTTGAAACAAAGGCCTGGGGCAGTTGACAAAACTTGAGCTATTTGAGTGCAAAGGTTATCCATTAGCCCATCAAGTTTGATCTCAGGAGTGTGTCTAATGAATCCAGTTGGTTGCACAACAAAAGGTTGTCTGTACAAAGAAAACGAAAAGGGTGGAAAAATTGATTATCTTGGAAGCACAAGAAGAAAACTGTTAACTCAAACAACTGGATAGATTTCAAACACTGTCAGATTATTTGAAGTTGCATCTACTACTTTTCTTCAGAGACTACTGACAAAAATCCTTGGAAACAGTCTGTTTTACAAATTTCCTTATTAGCATTATGAAATGTGGCTCTATTCATATTGTTAGATGGCAAATAAATCGATAATATCACATATCTGACAGGAAACTTTGATGTGCTATAATTATTCTTAACTCAGCAGTGGATGAAAGAACTTTTCAGCAATTTTCCTACTGGTATATCATCTTCTAGAAAAGTAGGACAAGTCCTCTGGGAGATTCAATGTTGTCAGACAGCAATAATTGAATATGATCTTATGTATGTCAAGGCTGAACCAACATAGAAAAGCTGCAAGGATTGCAAATTTTATACATGAGGAATTGATCTAGGCTCATATCACTTTGGGAAATCTGAATGTGTCAGTATTATTTTTTTGCATAGCAATGTGTATGGAGATAACAAATGTGTCAAAAGCATGCTGCTGTCTTAGCACTTAGTCCTGTCGTGAAAATTTATAGTAGAGTTAGAATTGGTGTCTTTCTGGTGTGACTAATAGTTTTTCAGTTTTTCACAAAAATATCCTTATTGATGGATAATTCCATCTCCTTGTATGATTAGAAGAACAATTTAACAATCAAATAGTTTTTGAAGGAGAACTTTTTTACTTCTAATCGTAGAGTGTTGTAGATCTAGTATTAGTTTAACAATCAAGGTAAGTGTTGAAGCCATAGGTGTGTTTGTAAGTGATGTGGTCCCCTGTTCACAGTGGGTACGAGCCCATCCCTTAATAAGCTATTATAACATGAATAGTTAAACAAAAGAATAGTTATTTACTTCTAATTTGAGTATTGTAACAGCAGTATTGTAGGAGTATTGTAACCACCAGGGTAAGTGTTGAAGACCTGTGTTTGTAAGTAAGTGTTGTGGTCCCGTGTTCACAGTGGGTACAAGTCCACGGTTGAGATTCTGAGTAGCAAGTACGACCTCAAGGACGTCACCGAGTACATCCTACCTGCCCGCAATTGACCTATGACCCCTGACCCAGCTTTGCTTTTCGCTTCCGGAGGTTTGCGTTCCGCCATGTTTGTGTGCTCTCTGCGTGTGGTGTGCTGGTGTGAAGGTCACCTTCATTTCAGAATTTCACACTTTAAAAAAAAGTTTAATTTCTCTTCCTGCAAGTCCCATCAAACTAATCCTTCTCAATGTAGAGGTGGTGTTGGGATGTCATTTCTTGATGACATTCAGACTTGATTTGCATGCACAAATGTTGACTAATCTATTTTTCTGCAGTGATTTTAGAGTTGAATGATACAGAAGAATATTCTAGAAGAGAATTGTTTAGTTGAAAACTGGACTAGTACAACCATGTAGATAAGATTAGTAGATCTTTCAACTTGATTTTTCAACTTGATCTTTATATTCAGACGTCACAAACAAGATTTTATTTTACAAAAGGACCTTAATTTTCAGAAAATGTGTAATGTTATGAACATATATAGATAAGGACATGTACGTATACGAGAGAATGTTTAGTATATTCCCTTGAAGGAAGTTAACACTGCGGAACTTCAACTCGATTCTTGTGCACCTGTTTGTGTTTTCTTGCCTTGTTTGTTTGTTTCCTTGTTTAGAGTCCTCCAGAGTGGTGAAAACTGCATGGTTTCGTCTCCATAACACCCTCTAACCTGTACATCTGTCTCTTACAGTAGAAAAACACAGTCTGTGTGGCCTGTTTTTGCTGTGGTGTGATGTAGGAGAGAATTACAACAGGAACATGATGATAACATGTGATTGATAAAGGGAAAAGGGTTGTGGTGTTGGGAAAGAGAATTATCATTTGATCAAGGTCTTTCACATATGCAATCATCGGACCAAATCAGGTGAAAAGACTGTGGCATGAAGAAAAACAATTAGATAACATTGAAAGAACTACGGGATAGCACATTGGCAAAACGTACTGAGCCTGTGCAAAACCCTCTTAATGTATTCTGCATACACTTTGGCAGAATGTCTCATTTAAGGTCATATTCACGTATTCTAGGGTGACATCCCTTCCATAGTTCACAAAAGTTGTGTTGGAAAAGATCTGTAATTAGCCTGGTTACCAAACCTATTACTGGTATAGCTCCTGAGTCCTACATTTCTCTGCTATTGGAAGAGAGGATGTAGGGCTCGGGAGCTATAATTGGTTTGGTAACCAGGCTACCCAGCAAAGGGCAAAATTCTGATGCAACATTGACTAAACAAGACCAAACATCCAATGAAATTGTAAAAAAAAATCTGGGTTTTTGCGCAGGTGTAATTCTGTCAACATATACTCAATGGGACATGCTCAACTCTAATTGTCTCCTCTCCCCGCCCTCTGTTTCAGTGCATACATGTCTACAGTTGACATCCTGGCCAACAAGTACGACCTGACAGACATCACAGAGTACGTCATCCCCAACGGCGTCCACTGAGCATGCTCAAACCCAGCCACAAACAAGCCACACACTCCTAACATACATCCTACTGGGCACGTGCAGACTTCGTATAAGGGCGGTGACCAAAGGACGAAATTAGCTCACAAACAAAAGATGGGAAGATTCCGATTGAATGACAGTATTAGGGCGGCCGCTAGCCTTCACGCAAGTGTCTAAAAGCCACAGAACGTCCATTCCATGCCGTTCTGTCACCCACAGAAAGACGATGCAACTCCATATACGCAATATCTACCCTCTACCCGGCTTCAGAAGTGGCTGGAAAGAGTTGAAATTGGCCGAATAGAGAGATAATATGCCAGCGGAGTTGGAGGTGGCAAATGTACTACTTAGGGTACTAACTCCCTTGGCATGCTGTCTTGTCTATTTGGTCAATTTCTACTATTTTCAGCCACTTCTGAAGCCTGGGCAATATTGGCTAGTCACACCCTTGACTAGTCGTGCTGACAAATGTTACCGGTATTCTGAAACCAACTTTCTGGAGCGTACCATCTTTCTCATTTGGGGGTGACAGGACTGGCCTCTATAGGAAGGTTTATGTATTGATTCCACAAATAATTTCCAATGATTTTCCTCTTCAATATCCACAATGAGTTCAGCTAAGCCAAAGGGTAGTGACAAGACAAGGGATAATATCACAATTTTGCAGGCTATTGATAATACGTTAATATGCATTGTAAGAAGGCAGAGAAACCTTACAGATGTGTCAGTAACAAGAGCCGTAGGCTAGACTAGATATTTTGAAATGCTGGCAACATCTTGGAGATGATCCCTTGCCTCAATTTTCACTGGCACAGATTTGTTCAAAAGCCCTTGCAGGGCTGCAAAGCATCTTTTCCATCACCACTTTGGTTGCTTCTTGATGGTGGAAAAAAGTGTGATGTTTCCAAACTTGAGATAAGAGAGAAAGAAGTTTATTTGTAGTAGTCATTCCTATATTACTTACTTGTGTAGTACATGTGGAAAGGTTATACATATATCATGTTATGAAGTGGAATTTCTACACTGAGCCCTAGTGTTAGTAATAATGATTGGTAAACTTGCTTATAGGTATGCTGAAAGAGTTCTTGCTTGAAGATAACATGCTGATTTAAAGGCAGAAGATAGAATGAAATAGTGAGGCTCTTTTACTAACAGACTTTCCAAACTCAACAGCACATCACAATCAAAGCTACCATAATAGACTAATCCCATATCAAAACCCACCTCTGTTGAAATGCCAAATAAAAAACACACAAAAATACAAATATTTGACAGACATTCAGCCACTTTCTCGTTGGTGGGATCACTGATTGCAATTCTTTGATTGGTTGAACTGCTAATTGTGATTGGCAGTATCAGTCTTTTCTGAATATGTCTTGGCAAGGGTACAATGTATACTGAATTTTCATGGTGACTGAAAGTGAATTGAATACTTTGCTGACTGGGTCAAACTAAGGGGACTTCAAACGTCAACTTGAAGATAGTGTCATGCCTCCATCATCCTTCTTTTTATATCATTAACTGGATTGTTTTTTTCTTCTTGATTCAACTTACATCTACCTAAAACTGCACTTCCCATATCTATCAATAGGGGGCACTACTTCTCTTTAATGATTTTTCCTCAACTTAGTTACTACTGCTTGAAAATTGCAACATATTTGTGACATACATACCAGAAGATATCAGAGTTGTACAGAAGACTAGAGGAGCTATTGGATGGTATTGCTTCATATGGTGGTTGTACATTAACCCATCCTCCTTCGCAGGGCTAAAATCCTCCGGTTCCTTCCCAGATATTGTTATAATCAAGAAGGTTGTTGTTATTATACACTCTTTGTACACTAATTTTGCAGCATGCATGCATGTAGATTTGTGTCCATCATAAGTTGGTATTTATTTCAGGATTACATTTCTAACACCACTCAACAAAGATACCAGATATAAATACATATATGTGTGTGTGCAGGTATATACAGGGTTGGCACTACCTTGTCTTGTCACCAGTCAAATGGTAGAGTGATTGTCACTTGACAAAGACAAAGGACAAGTGCTTTTCTACATTATTATACGAGTACATACACACTGCAATGACAACATGTATCATAGCCAACACTTTATCTGTATTGAGGTTGTAAAAGAGTCAAATGGCAAGGACTTAAAGCACTTGGTACTTACAGCTCCAGAATTATGTCAGGAATACCGGTATTGTATTCATTTCGATGCCACATTATTTACTGTACAGTAAAATGCCTTCTGAGTGTGAAAAGATTGCTGGCAAGGACCTTAGTGAGCAGTTAAACACCTTTAGTTCTTAATTTGCTGGACCGGTCCTGACAAAAAACACTTGTATTCTGTTATGTGGAAACATTTGATGTTTTCTACTTCTGGTGTGGCTTGGAAAGAAGTATTAGTGTATGTACGTGTAGACTTTGTAACTTGGATTTTTATGTATGTACCAAGAAAGCTTATTGTAGCATTGAGTATGCCTCAGAGGAATAACATTTTGCGATAGAACCAGCTAACTCGAGGATTGGTGTAGAGTTTATGAAATAGAAGTACATGTACCAGTATGTTGGTTCTTGTAGGCTTGTCCACCCATTCACTGTGCCATTGTACATGAGATATAAAAAAAACTGGCTACAATATTTTGTATAATTTTGCTGTAATGTTAGAACAAGCTTTCTTAGCTGTTAGACTTAGAGCCTACATAGAAAGCTTAGTAAAGTGGTGCAATTAACCATCATCCATACATACTAAACATATTTAAGATGTCGGTTCACCCACCCCTGATCAGTATGAATGGTGGAGTCCACATGACTGACAACTTTAAGGAGATGCTACCATATCGTCTTTTCATGGGGGTGGTAGGGTGTCCTATATACAGTGCACATGTAACTATTTTATGGTATCAGCTTTGTAATAGTATAGCTCGTAGCTATAATAAAATCTTGTACTGCAAAGTGGTTCCAATGTGTTTTCACTGAATAATGATACATTGAGGAGAGGCCTAAAATTCTCCTACTACATGTATATCTTGAATTCCCTTCATCAAAATATAACTCTAGTGTCAGTTTCTTTGCATTTACCTTTATTTTGAGCAAAAATAACATAAATGTACACTCATTTTGTCACATCAAGTGATTGACTAATTGCAAAAGTAGTAAGCCTTGTATTGTATATTACTATAGCATTCTTTGAGTTACTGTACTTGGTTTTAGAGTGGCAAGCAAATGGACATAGCAATGTTTCCTTAGAGTGCTTGATTACATAGGTCTTGGATAAAGTTACAAAAATACACCAATTTTTACATCTTATTCTTTTGAAGTGGAATGAAAAGCTTGCAAATAAGTTGACAATTTGCAACTTGGGCCCTTTCACACATTCTACATAAATACATTTGTAGTTGTGTTGAACACAAATTCTTCTACAAGCTTTGGTTTCCATAGTCCTTATTTCTATCAATCATGCAACAATTACAGAAGTTTTGGCACATAATACATTTTTGTACCATTATCTTAAGTCATAAAGGGACTAATGATAAACATAAGAAACCTAGATCTAGATTCCTCAAGGTTTGGCACTATAGTAACATCTTTCATGGTCCTATGAGACTGATAAAATACCTTGCCTTAACATCTTTCTAGTCCTTTCAATTCTAAATAACAGGAACCTTCGGGAGTGCTTTATCTTCCTAGTTAATTTTTTAAGTATTCCTTATGACACCCCAAAGGTAGACAGTATAGATACATTTCACATTTCTCCAATCTAAATCTGGTAGATCACATACATACAGTCATCTTTACATTTACATTCTTCTTCATTGCATATCAGTGCCCGGCACCAAGATGGGATCTCATTGTCTACCATCCTCTTTTTACATGATACATACATTACATTTTTATTACACCTGAACAAAACAGGGAAGCTTTAATAGATTGCCTCAAACTTTGGCACATTATACTTTAAAGAGATGTGGCATTTTTACTGCTGAAGTCTACAACAGCTTTTCTTCCAGTCTGTCACACAGCTGGGAAAACTTCTGGTTGTCCCCCCCAGACAACCTGTAGAAGCTAATCAGTACCCCCTCCCCACAGTCCACCCCCCTGGACACTTGAACCGAAAAGACCACCCCCTCCCACTTACACACCACAGTGCCGGATATTCTCTGTTCTACTTCGTCTACTTTGACTTCTTGTAGAACCACCCGCAGCCTTTTTAGTGTCTTCTCTTTGGAACTTTCGACCAGGGCGATAGTTCTTGTGTTCGTCAGGCTGTTTTTTGCGTCTGCTGACTGAGGCGAGAGAGGTTCACGCTTTATCGTCTGTGCTGTCGGCTTTTCTGCATCACCGTTCTTTCTTACAATCGGGAATTCAACCGCAGGAAGAAGGGGCGGAGTTGTCACCGGGCTCGGACAAGGGTTCGGAGTTTGAGCAGGCCTAGAGGGTTCACCGTTCTCTTTCGCACTTGACGGCGGTATGGTGTGTCGGACTGAGAGCTTCTTTGCTGAGTCCTCCCTCAGACTTGCAAGAGGAGACCCAGACAGTTTCAGACCGGGTAGAACGTTGTTTTCTTGGATACTGTTCCTCTTGTTGCTTTGTCTCAGGGCCGTCAGAGTCTCCTGGTAGGAGTTCCTCCTCTGGTAGACGTTGTCTATGGACCGTCGCCTGGCTTGGGTTGGCGTGTGAGTGCCGTCTCGCCCAAGCTTGAGAAAGTCTATGGCCTTGTGGTCGTTGGATTTTCTCAGGTCCAGAGAAGCTCTTCTTAACCCTGGTGCTTTCGGCACATCCAGTGTGTCGTGGCTGTCGATGGAAAACTTCTTCTGTGCAGGACTGGAAGTTTCTTGTTGAGGGAACTTCACGTCAAGAGGTTCAGTCATTCCGACTTCGACGGATTTCTTCCGGAGGTCGTCAAAGAACTTGAATTTTTCGCCCTCCTTGGAGGGTGAATCCTGCTGTGGATTCTCTTGACCAGAAGTGAAAGCGTTGGCAGTCTCTGCTTGATATCTCTCACCAGTAGAAGAAGAGGAAGTTTCTGCATTTAGTGTGAATTCTACTTTGCAGGTAGTGGACCATTCCGCACTCTTATTTGGTTCCTCCGTTTTGGCAGTGGAGTAGTCCAAACTCGGCTTTGGATCCTCCGTTTTGGAAATGGAACAGTCCAAACTCTGCTGGAGATCTTCCTTATTAGGAGAGGTCGAACCATTTCTTGGCTGGGGGGATCCAGCGTCAGATGCACCACTACTGATGCTCTCTCCTACACTGGGCATGCTGGAGTCTTCCCCTCCATCGGACCCTGTCCCCCCCTCCTTCATGGGTGAGCTGCTCCCAGGGCGTGTCTCGCTCCTCGCCATGGTGATGATGGCAGGAGGGTCATCCGAGGTCAGAGCCAGGAGGTCAATGGGTTTGGGGTCAGGTGCTGTCAGCCCTGCTGGGTCCTCATCTAACTTCTCAGTCGGTGCTGCAAGAAAAAAAAAACACCGTTGACATCAGTTAGTCAATGTTACAATAGAATTAACCTGCGCTATGACCCTTTAGTTTAAGCAGGAAATATCACCTGCATACGCAGGTTAGGGCAGGTAACATTGGAGCTGTGCATGTATTTCTAGCTGCAATGGTCCATGTACTGGGTTTATATAATATAATATAATACATGTAGGTGTAATCGCATCCTTACAGTTTATGGCATCGTCCATTCCCAAATTCATACTAATCTTAGCGGTGTAGGTAAAATTTGTCTGGTGCATGTAATTCTTAATTGTACCAATGGACACAACATCTATGAGTTGACCATCCTACCTTTCACATGGACTATAAAATGTCTGTTGTGGCCAATCCAGGAGGCTGGTCTCTTCTTGATGACTTTTCCTGACTTTGGCCTCCGCTCATCTGCTTGGTTATTCTCCACAGCCCCTGATTGGTCAGTCCCAACTGAAGTTGCTTCTGGTTGGCCAGGGTGAATGGGTTCAGAAGGATCCTGATTGGTCAATTTTTCAACCAATCCTGGTTGGTTTTGGTCCCTTGAGCTTGGCTGTGGTGGCTTGCTTGGATGAGAGGTGTGTTGTGATTGGTTGTTAGACAGGGAGGTTTGTTGTGATTGGCAGGTAGAATTGGAGTGCTGTGATTGGCCAGTAGCCTGGGCTTTCCTCTCTCTGTGTGCCTGTCTGACGTGTCTACGCAGGAGTCTGGCCTCGACTCTGCCACCGGGACCTCTTCTGATGGAGTTCTATACAACAGGAGATGGTAAAAAAAGGTGAGTTGTAATAGCTTTAAAGCGTTGTGTAAATGAAAGTTAGACATTCAGGTAATGTAGGTACACAAGAACTTGTATACACAGTTACTAAAAGTTACTCAAACCACTGGAGAGGGTTTAAAAACTGTCAGATGTTTCAAACTTTTCAGAGTGTTGTGTTGATGAAGGTTAGACATCCAGGCAATGAGATACATGTACACAAGAAAACTCAAACAAATGAGAACTATCATGTGTTTCAAGCTGCATACACTGCTTTTTGTCAGTGACAAAGAACCTGTAACTCAATAGGTATTTATCCAAAAATTATGAATTAATATGTAAATGAGGTGAAAACAAATTAACCACAGAATAGCACTTAAAGGTATTGCATTAAACTTTAGCACACTAAAGTAGATGTCTGCCTGCCAATTATCTATTGGTTACAGGGTTAGGCAGCAGGAAGAAGGTTTAGAATATTTAAAAGGTTGAATGAAGACAGGAAAATTAAGACCTATATGCAGACTCACCATATATGGTAGTGAGACCTTATTGGTTGGACCTCCAGTGTGAACTATGACCCGATGTCTGGCATGACTGGGCGAGCCAGCTGGATGGGATGGCCTTTCACCTTTGACCTGCTTAGGTTGTGGTTTGACCTCACCAGAGGAGCCAGCTTCCCCAGTCTACAGAATAAGGTACATTCTAAATTAAGACTCAATGGACCTATACCATTATTACGTCACAGTTTGTTTGCCGCAATGAATGCCAGTCAATCGACGTTTATATCGTACAGGGGTGCACAGCGCGGTGTGTGTTTGTGTAGCGTTAGCCTAATATAAGGCTTTTAATACAGTACTACTTTCGTCTTATGTCACAACCAAAACACCCATGCGACATGTAATGCTGTGTCAACACAACTAGACGCAGCAAAAATCAGACATACCTTACTTTGAAAACTTTGAAATGATCTTTATTCTTTAACTGACTGTTCTAGAATGTTCTTTAGAACAGGTAAACAAACTGTGACATAATAATGGTAACGTCCGTGGTATAGGTTATTACTGAGCAGGGAGGATCCATCATTGATCAAATGTAGATTTATCAGATAAGTCTGCCTCTTTTATGCTTAAGAATTGAAACAGCTTTATACAATGTAGTTACAAGAAATACTAGCGCAAAACCCTCGCTGGCAAAACTCCTTGTTAGTGTGTAAATGTAATATTATGATTATATCCTTGTCGAACCCTTCCTGTCGGCGTCGACAATAGCTCGAACGATGTTGCACTTTACTGCTAGTTCATTGTCTATTTTAACCTGTATATATTTTAATCATGGTGATTACATCATCACCCGGACGGAGGCGTGGCGAACCCCGTCTTGTATTAAGCTAACGAAAGGGTATGCCACCTCGTAAGGGGCGGTATAACCCCGACCAATACGGTCGACCGATGATGATGATTTTAATCTGTCGGAATTTCCTTTTAAAATGTTTGTAATGGAACGTTGTTTGCAATTCAGTTACTACTGCAAGGCCGTTTTTATTGTGAATAATAATAAACCAATGATGATGATGGTATAATAGACAGTGGCAGGTAGTACTTAGAATCCCTAGTGATGAAACATAATGGATCAGACCACCATTTTCATGAGTGCCAAGGGAAAGAAAAAAAACCCTATCAGTTCTGTTCTGTTCCATTCTTACAACGGATTTACAAGTTTATTTAGTTAGGAAAGTTCAAACTTTGCACAAGCATGAAGTCATTGGCAGGGAAAAACCTTGAAGAAATTGCTTTGAACCTGTGCTGTTTTATACTGCCAACAAAGTGAAGATTTGAAAAGTTACCTCTGGTGTAGTATCGTCTGCAGTGCCTGCAGTTTTGTGGATGGTTGACAGGCGGCGCTTCAGCAATACACTCTCAGCCACCTCCAGCTTCTGAACATTAAAAAAAGCCTTTTATAGCATCTCTGCGCTATGATGACATCATTTTATCGATCTAGGCTTCTCCATTTAAAGGTATGTAACGTTACAGTTAAGCATTGTTGCAAAAACATTGTATGCCCGAATTCTTCTGATATCCTTTTCAGTACCAAGGACAGGTAGCTACAACAGAATACACTAGGTAGAAATAGTCTGCAAATCAGCGAATGGCGTTGTTTTTCACACCTTCATTGTAACCCTGACTTGCGAGGTGTACCGCTCTAGCCGTGTCTTCAGTAGGTGGTAGATGGCGCTGTTCTGGTGTGCCTTGTTCCCTACGACCATGTGGATGGTGTCCGACACTGAGAGTTTCAGGGTGTCACGCATGTGGTTCAGGATCCTGCAGTTCGACAAATAGTTGATAGACGGTGTTGCTGCACTGCATCCACGACTTTAAACGTGCAGAACTTTACGTGTTGTTTGGATCTCATACATGTGAACAAATGTGTTATCTGGCTGAATTTTATGTGTTTTTATGCCATAGATTTTTCTTTATATCGAAGGAAGGTTTTATTTTAGGCAATGTCCAAGAACTAATTCCAATCACCGAATTGAATACTCTAAATACTAGTAGTCCAGAAAATCGGCAACAACTTGTCATTGAGTTAATTGTGAAATACACTTCTTTTACACGCTACAATTGATAAGAATACGGATAATTAATATTTCCTAAGTTTCAAGGAGAAGTACATTATACAAGCCTTGACTTCTTTCCTCCTCCTGTACACTGATTTGTTCCTTTGTTTTGCATATTTGTTGTTGAATGTTTGTCTTTCTTGGTGCAAATAAATACAAATGAAAAACGAATAAAAATGAAATGAAATGAAAAACTACTAATTATAAGACAATAAACTGACCTTGAGTCGAGGTCATCAGGGCTGACCCGGTTGGGAAAAGGCATGACGGGAAGGGTGCCCTTGTGCCCCTCGTTCAGCCACCTGTTCTTACAGACCTGCTTCAGTGACGGGCGTCTGTCAGGGTCGGAGGTCAGTAACTGGCGGAGAAGCTCTCGACAACCTGAGGTGGCAAGGAGGTGGTCTTGTGGTTAGGGTTGATGACTCGGAATCTGAAAGTTCTAGGTTCGAATCTCTGGCATGAATATTGTTGAATCAGAATCTGAGTGTTCTGGGTTCGAATCCCCCGTGGATTACCTGTCTACTTGGTCAATTTCTACTCCTCCCAACCGCTTCTGAAGCCTGGTGGAGTTGACGGTAGCAGAACATAGTTTTCGCCCTATCGGAATTTCTATAGTTAAGTACCCCAAGATGACTCACTTCGACGCAGTAAAAATTTTAGTAGGCTGCACTTTACAAATACGAAAACGAATGTGTTTGAGTTTGAGGTACAAACTACAAAATATTTAAAAAATAAAAAATCCTGTCGGCGTATCGGCTCGTGACGCACACTTTGAAATCGCCCTCTGCGGAGCTCAACTAAACTCACCCGAAAAGCCAGTTGCGTAATACGGCGCATTTATACACGAACTGGAGAACCGTCATAATCCAAATCATACATAATCTGAAAACCGACATTTTTCCATACCACGCAGCAAAGATTACACCTGGCTACCGATCTCACATAAGACTTTCTAGCCAGAATTTTGTCCGTACTATTTCCTTTACCCGCCTCATAGACCCCCGTGTGTCGTCCTTTGACACAGTCTTCTGTAACCAGAAGAAATTTTGTGTGTTTGAACAGATAGCGTACCGATTGAGAGTCCGCTGGGAAGAGGGTCCATGTCACCCGTTATACTCTTTAACAGCGGCCTGGTAGAGCCTATTGCCTCTGAAGCCTGGTAGAGGCTATTGCTCCTAGAGGCAATGAAGCCTGGTAGAGGCTAAAATGTGTGCATTTCGATGTAGAACGGATAACGTACCGATGGAGAGTCCGCCGGGAAGCGGGTTCATGTCTCCCGTCAGCATTTTCCTGTGCAGCGCCTTGATGTTGAAGGGATCCACGGTGAACGGCAGGCTCCCCGTCAGCATGGCGTACATGTTTACTCCTCTGAACAAAACAAATAAACAAACAAATAGATAAGCAATCTAGGTGTCATTGTCAATTTCGAAGGTCGCTACTTCGGACAACGGTAATGCTGAGGTCACATTTCCAACCCGGGGCCCGGCCGGGCAGTCTTATGGAACGAAAAGTATGATATAAAAGACAAAAAGGCACAAAAAAGTTGAAAAAGGTAATAATGGGAACTATTTGCGTATATTATTGATATAAATTGTTGATTTTTCGTTAATCGAAACAGCCCGGCCGGGCCCCGATTTAGAAATGTGACCTCAACATAAGGTAGGAGAGGTAAACTAAGGAAAACAGCTCTAGATTTATATTTGTAGGATGTTACACTACTTTTGTGCTTATGAATTTGTTTACATTTACAAACTGAATGAAGTAGAAAACTATCAATGTTTGGGTGCTGAAGACCCGTGTAGTGTTCAAAACGATTTTACCGGCAGAAAAAAACAAGGCAGGACTTGATTTATTCCTGTTCTTCCCTGAGAAATCTTTCAAGAAATCCGTCGGGTTTCCGAGAACTCAAACAGTGGAAGAACTAAAGCAACCAGGCCGTTTAACTGACTTTATGTGGCTCTTCCTACACTGTTGTACTTGTTTCCATTTTCACACCGTGACCGAGCCAGTTTTACAGTCTATTTTTTGTTCCCTTTCAGCACTTGTACCTCCCGGTGAGGTCTCAAGTCACGAGCTACACTAAGAAAAACTCGAAGGTCATGATCAAGACTTTCACAGCTGTTCTGAGTAACGTGATCAACTCGACCGTGTTTAACCTCGCTCAGAGAAAAGTTCTTGGTCGGAAAAAAATGACTAACCGTAGCCGTGTGTAGAGTTATACTAGTACTGGCCTGGTTACCAAACTTATTTTAGCTGCCGAGTCTCTTTCGACCTATTTGCAAATAGGACGAAAGAGACTCTGTATCTGCATCTGTATCTGTATAGCCGGTACAGCCGCCCATCGGCATAACACAAGAGCGTCGTAGGCACGCGGCGCGGCGGCAGCTGGCTACATTACACCAAACGCCTTGTTACACCTAACCTTTGAACATCTAACTCTAAACATTGTTTAAAGCTATCTAATCTCGGCAGCTAAAATACATGTAGGTTTGGTAACCAGGCTAGTGCTATTACGGCAGCCAACTAGAAAACCAGTGTGATTGGAAAACTTGAGGAAAACACAGCTAGATTAACGTATTTTAGTGTTTAGATTTGTTCCCTTTCTAAATACAATCAAACTAACTACCAAGGACTGCCACATTTGCTTAATTGCAAATTACATGTAGCCCTGGCGAACTAAATAGGCCTCCTGTTCTAAAGTAGTTTCCTATATTGGGTTTGAAATTGGCAGCAATCAAGTCTTTAAAACTCCCCCTTTCTCGTTCGTTTGCTCGCCTTTCAAAGATACCGACAGGTTGTCGGTTCTAACTGAATCCCACGTCAGGACCAAAAACAGGCCTCTGTAATGTGATCTTTGAGGTAAATGGGTAAATCACTTTTCATTTCAAAAATCAAGAGGTATTTATAATTGACCTGAGAAAATTAGTGAAGAAAACTAGCTCTTTATAAAAAGCCATCCGTAAAATTGACGTTTGTTTCTATTTTTCCAGAAGTGGTGGATGGTTTTAGATTTATTTTTGACACACGGAAAGAAGTAAAACTAATCAAATTTTCACCAAAGTAGGTCGCGACCGGCTCCGCACGTTGCTACCTCGTGATGCTAATAGTTCACTAGAGTTCAACACAGAAAACATTCAATATCATGTATGTATGTATGTGTATGTGTGTGTGTGTGTGTGTGTGTATGTGTGTGTGTGTGTGTGTGTGTGTGTGTGTGTGTGTGTGTGTGTGTGTGTGTGTGTGTGTGTGTGTGTGTGTGTGTGTGCGCGCGCGCGCGTGTGTGTGTGTGACTCTCTGCGCTCTCTTGCGTGTGTGTGTTTAGCACAAGGACAAGAAGCTATGTGTGAATTCTCATGAAACTTTGTACGTGGATAGGTCTTGATGAGACCTCAAAATGATAAGATTTTGGCCCCCCTGATGGCTTGTTTTGCTACTGCAAACTTTGGGGGCACAGAACAACATCTTTCCCACAGGTCATTCACCCCTACAGGTGTCTTGTTTCAGTCTCCGCTTGTAAACGCGTTTTCAGACATTCCTAAAAACTGTCCCTCAGGCGGTGCCTAGCCTCAAAATAAGGACTTCTGATGATAACATGTCGGTAAAAGGTCTTAGGACAATATGCAAGTTTCAGTCGGAATCTTGGCAAAATTAGCAAATGTGAATATTGCAGGATCCTTACAATAGTCTGAAAGATTATGGGCCATTTGTAACAGATGTACGAAGCTCACTGTAAGGGCCGATTTCGAGACTATATCGAGCAGTGTTTATAGATGGCTAAATACAGCCCCTAACGAATCGGGTCCCAGACGAACTAGACCGGAGCCAGACTTTCACGTTGTTGCAATGTGCACGTACGTTCTGTTACTCTCCAAGCAAAGGTTAAGGATTTGGCCAAATTGGTACGGTATTGCAGACTAATCTCCAAACAGATTTTTCGGTGGCAAGAAAGTATCCATTGGCCAGAGGAGTGTCCATTAGCCACCGAAGGTTTGGGAAATGGATACAGGACGACCAATGGATACAGGATGGCCAATGGATACGGTCTTTTGCCACCCAACCGAAAGATCTGCTTGGAGATTATTGCATTGCAGACACCAAAAGATCTGCTTGGAGATTAGAGTTTTCCCACATTCAAAATCCGCGTTTTCCCACATCCAAACTCCGTCCCGTGTGACTGCGTGTCCCTGCTATTTCACATGGCGCTCCAAAGATGACTGATATGATACAATTTTGTTTGTTTGTATTTTTGTTACCAATATCCGCCTTAGTGGATAGTTTGAGGCGTATACAAGAAATACTTCAACAGTTTCGTGACGTGACACAGAGGAATGCATGCAGGTTTTCAGTAGTAATTGTTAGCCTCTACCAGGCTCCAGAAGCGGTCGGAAAGAGTGCAAAAGTGGCCAAATAGGCAGATAACATACCAAGGATGTTGGTCTTCTAAAGGAGAATAGTTTGCCGACAGTTTCAGAGCAGCAAACTGTACTCTATAGCGGGCCAACCTCCCTGGCATGTTAACTGTCTATTTGGCAAATTTCTACTCTTTTCCATTTCCGTAAGAGACAACTGGATTTTGGACGAGACATGCACGACTATCCCAATAATGCCCTCAGTGTTTGATCGTACGACGCATGTGATCAGGCAGCCCTAACTCCAACAAGTTGCACCAAAATGCTTGAACCTCCTTGACCTTCCTGATACGTTGCAACGCGTTTCTTTCTTTTGTAAACTTTATCAAAACTATCGTGTACGTGTTGTGTAGTTTACGGCCACCTAAACCCTGGTTTCCTTATTATCAACACATAACAACACACACGTACGGCATGTAACTTGGGTTCCTTTTTTACCTTAAGCGGTCCCTGTTGTCGCGTGTTTGCTGTAAACATGTGTGGATAGCGAGCGAGTTTGTGTAAACTCTGTACGGCGTGTTTACAATCTCCAAGGCACGATTCACGGAGGAAGTGAAAACATGGGCACTGGCTTCGTGTAAAGAAACGGTTCGTTAGGTATATGTTTGGGACAGTTTTGTCCAGTATGGTGAGCAAGGACTAGCCTCTACCAGGCTTCAGAGGCGGCTGGAAAGAGTAGAAAATGGCCAAAGACAGACAACATGCCAGGGGAGTTGGTCCGCAAAAGGAGTACAGTTTGCCGCTCAACTAGTACTGTACTTCTTTAGCAGACTAACTCCCATGGCATGCTATCTGCTTGTTTGACCAATTTCATCCCTTTCCAGGCGCCTCTGAAGCCTGGTAGAGGCTACTTGAACGAGAGTCCTAACATTTGTACATCATGTACACACAAGACCATGTAAGAGTGCGGTCTCCGTTTTCCCTAACTTTAAGATAACGTCCTATGATAACGTCCTATGTTTTAAGGAGTTCATGTGTATAAGGATGTTTCCTTATCTTTCACAAGTAGATAGATAAAGATGCCTTCTCGTGTTCGTGTGTAAAGGGATGATACCTTATCATCTCACAAGTGGGTAAACAAAGATCACGCTGTTTGTGTCAAACTTTGCTAATTACCTTACAATTATGCATTAATCAGGCCAGTCGAGATGTTGGATGCATATGTGACCAGAAGCGTTTTTTAAAAGTGCGTTATCAGCACATTATCAAAGAGAACGTGCTAGGTTGTACACTTGTTTTTCTAGCCCTCACATTGTATGCGTAGAACTTTTTTTTAAACATGAAGTTGATGAACTCAGAATCACTCTGAATATGCTGTGGAATATGAAGTCAAGAGTAGGAAAAAGACATCATATTTTGGGATCTTATTGACGTTGCACAACTGATAATTACTTGTGTTACTTAACCAAGGGACGGGAATTTCACAAAGGAATGGTCGCTGCATCAAAGACCGATGTTTTCGCTTGTTGTGGATACACAAAAACGCCGCGTATCCTCACATTCAGCTGTCTCTGGGAACGAGAAGTTCCGTCTTTTCATCTTAATAGCTTACTATCTATGGCCTCATCTTTTAAACACCAGTGTGTCCAACCTTCGTCAGCCACGGTGCTATGTAGAGAAAGCGTCTCACCAAAGAGCAGTGTTTTTGCATGTTGTGGATACACAAATACGCCATGTATCCTCACATTCACATCTCTCGGACCAAGAGTTCCCGTCTTTTCCCCTTAATAGCTTCCTATCTACGGTCGCATCTTTTAAACACCATTGTGTCTAACCTTCGTCAGCCACGGTGCTATGTCGAGGCCGCGTCTCACCAAAGAGCAGTGTTTTTGCATGTTGTGGATACACAAATACGCCATGTATCCTCACATTCACATCTCTCGGACCAAGAGTTCCCGTCTTTTCCCCTTAATAGCTTCCTATCTACGGTCGCATCTTTTAAACTCCAGTGTGTCCAACCTTCGTAAGCTCTCATGTATGAAGCTCTCATGATTTCTTTCAATCTTGCCTCTTTCCAGGGAGGTCCTATTGGAACCCAGGGCGTTCTATTGGAACCCAGGACGTTCTATTGGGACCCAGGACGTTCTATTGGAACCCAGGACGTTCTATTGGAACCCAGGGCGTTCTATTGGAACCCTGGGCGTTCTATTGGAACCCAGGGCGTTCTATTGGAACCCAGGGCGAACTAGAGGTTAAATTCCGTCTTTTCCTCTTAATTGTTTCCTATCTGTGGTCGCATATCATCTTTTGAACACCAGTGTGTCCAACCTTCTTAAGCCACTGCGCTATGTGGAGGCCAGTAAGCAGCGTGTGTCATCATTAACGGCCGATTAGTTATCTAAAGGTAACTAAAGGTGGTGAATAATGATGTTGTTTGTTTGCAGGTCTCCGTCACCTTTGTGCAGTGTTAGTCTTTATTGTAGGTAAAGGCCTTATGTTCTAGTCAACAAAAAAGTGTGTGACGTAACGGCAGAGTGCTCGACTCGGAACCAAGAGGTCCCGGGTTCGAGTCCTGACATGCCACCGATCTTGTGTCCTTGGGACAGGCCATTTACACGACCTTCCTCACTTAACTCAAGTGAAAATGAGTATTGTCAGTCCTGTATTTGCCCTCTGTGTTAATGGCACTAAAGGCCCTTTACCAGTTATACGAAATAATCAAACAAAATACATTGTACACCTGGTCCACTTACATGCTCCAGACGTCGACTTTCGGCCCGTAGCGCTTGTGTCCGAGCAGCTCGGGCGCGGCGTAGGCCGGACTGCCGCACTGCGTCACGCAGAACTCCGCCGCCGGGCTGCCGTCACCGCCGCCCGGGGAGCGGAACGAGTTACTCAGACCGAAATCTGTGATGGGAAGTAAAATTTGTAGAAATCATTACAACGTACAAAACAATAGCGAAGCAGAAACGCTCTCAAATTATCATTATAGAAGCTCTCATGTATGATATGATTTCTTTCAATTTTGCCTTTTCCCGGGATGTACTATTGGAACACAGGGCGTTCTATAGAATATCAGGGCGTTCTGTTGGAACCCAGGGCGTTCTAGTGGAACCCACGGAGTTCTATTGGAACCTGGGCATTCTAATGGAACCCGGGGCATTCTATTGGAACCCGGGGCATTCTATTGGAACCCAGGGCATTCTATTGGAACCCAGGGCGTTCTATTAGAACACAGGGCGTTCTTTTGGAACCCAGGGCGTTATATTGGAGCCCAGGGCGTTCTATTGGAACCCAGGGCGTTCTATTGGAACCCAGGACGTTCTATTGGAGCCCAGGGCATTCTATTGGAGCCCAGGGCGTTCTATTAGAACACAGGGCGTTCTTTTGGAACCCAACCCGTTCTATTGGAGCATAAGGCGTTCTATATTGGAACATAGGGCGTTTTTTTTAACCCAGGGCGTTCTATTAAATTGGAACCTGGGAGTAGTGGTGACATCACGAGTAGAGAACGCCATTTAGGGACAACAAATCACACACTTAATGTCACCTCCTTAATCTACTCCTGCGAAAAAAACATCATCGTAAAACAATCACCAATTCACTGTGAGGTAAGCTCTGTGGCGAGCGTGTCCGCAATCTTATCAGGGTGACTAAACTGCTGTCGGTTTAATGACTGGGCAAACTGTAACGTTATCAACAGGACAAAACTTTGTACGCTTTAATGAGAGGACAAACCTTGGTGTTACCTTGGTGACGTGTATAGCTTTATGGACAAAAAGATGTTCAAGGTATCATCAGGATCAGTTCTTGCTTCAGCATGTGGCAGCTACAATTTCTTAATATACGAATAGAACAAGAAATACCTACAAATACAATTAATCCGCAGGGGAAACTGTTTTGGTAAATCAAATTTAGATGGACATGTTTACAGTGTAACAGTAATGTAATTAAGAAAGGCCAGTGTTATGTTGCAGATACGACAGAAAGTCATCTTGTGTCAGAAAGAACAGAGCGGAATTTCAGCTGACCTCCGCACCTTAAGGGCTTAAGGGATGAATGTTAAAGCTGGTGTACTTAAGGTTTATTTGGTCAAGTCAAATTAAAAGGTTGATAACACAAAAGGCTTAAAATTGATGTGTCGATTGTGTTCGGAAAAAGAGATACGCTTAAGAAAACTGTGATAGACATTACCTGATTTTCAAACCAAGGCCTAAGAATAGTAGTAAAAAAGTAATGATGAAGGTCTTAAAATCACCGAATTTCAGCTATGATATAACCGTTTACGAGTTCAGCTACCAGGATGCAAACTGTGATACAAGGTGGAAATTAAACCATCGCCAAGTAACGCTGGTGAGGTTAAGAATGTTAATCACCAATAAATGCCTCGACAAATGTTTTTTCGACATCCTGAAATTATCTCGTAAGTAAAAACGCGCTATCGGCACCGATAACAAGAACAAACTTCCCTCCATTCTTAGCGAGAAGATTTATTCCTCGGACTTTCAACTCAAAATCTCATTAGGATCTCCCGGCCTCGGCGTGCCCTTACTATCCATCGGTAGTCCAGACCCGCATTTTTTTCCGGAGGCAGACCAGTACGCAGTAGCTTCTATCAGGCTTCGTGCGCGGCTGGAAAGAGTAAAAATTTACGAGATAGGCAGATAACATGCCAGGGGAGTTGGTCTGCGAAGGAGTACAGTTTGCCACCTCCCCTGTCGTGTTATCTGTCTATTTGGCCAATTTCTACTCTTTCCAGCCGCTTCCGAAGCCTGGTAGAGGCTAGCTACACAATCACACAGCGTGTATCGTGCTGTTATGAACTGAATTATTATACAAAATTATAAGTACGTGGCTCTTAATATTGGTCATATATGCATATCACTGTGTAACTAACAGTTATTGGATTAACGTAAAGTCATGGGACGTTGCACAGAGAAGAAGCATGGCCTCTCGTGAGTCATAAAAAGTTAGGTGTCCATGCAACGTCAAGTATCCATGGTTACAATTAAACAAACCTCTCAGGCCAAGAAATGCCTACGCACAGGTATTCTGATTTATGGCAGCAACAACATAAAGTGACGTCACTTACCGATGAGCTTGACGTTCATGTTTTCGTCCAACAGTAGATTCTCCACCTTCAAGTCTCTGTAACAAAAGATAAAATACCGTAAATATATGCACATGATACACTGGTATCTTTTTCTACGTCCTCGGGTGGTAAATAGACACTGTCTTGCAGCCACTAAAAGATCTGCATGGATATTATAGTATCTCTCCCTCCCTCTTTCCTTTCTTCTCTTACGTTTTGAAGCTCGACTACATCACACCAAATCACCTTAAAGTCAATTTGATTAAATATTTTCAATCCTCATTTACGCTACCTCAACAACACAATATAACGTTATACACGTACAAGAGTACACTTTACAGTACAATAGATCTAAGAAGTGTTCAAGAGGACTTGTCAACTACAGTCTTCTATTCTCGTATACCAGGCGCCTCTGAAGCCTGGTAGAGGCCAGTCTAGACTGTACTGTACTGTACTTTAGCGCAGTAACTCCCCTGGCATGTTGGCCTGACTATTTGACCACTACTCCGCGTCTGAAGCCTGGTAGAGGCTGTTCTTAGAAGAGTATGCAAGGAATGGTTGTCTTTTCATCCAGGCCATGTAAGGCCACGGTCACATTCATCGTAGGCCTACGTACGATTTCGATGTCGTCGAATTTTCTGGCAGTCATCGACAGAATGATCCGCCGACAGGGTTCTAAAAGATAGTTGAGTATTGCACGACTATCTCAAGGAATGCCTCCAGTTTGCGATCGCACGAAGAAGCCTGATAGAGGCTAGATGAAGCCTGATAGAGGCTACGTTCTACCTGCTCACCTGTGAATTATGCCCGCATCATGCAGGTGCTGTACAGCTGACACCACCTGCCGCAGGTAGCGTCTGACCTCAGCCTCATCCAGCCGGCGTTTCTTACAGATGTGCTCCATCAGGTCCCCGCCCTCGCACAGCTCCAGGACAAGGTAGTACGAGTTCTCCGTCTCAAGGATCTCAAGAAGCTGTCGAAAGGAACATGGTGTGGGTCAGGTATGATATCCAGAACCTAGTATCCACGTAGCTCTATTCCTGAATGGATCAGACACGAATAGTGCATAGCTAGGTCTATGCCCGTGAATGGGTTAGGTTTAGGATCAGGCACGATTCTGAACAATCTCCAAAAACGTACTAGATTTGCTCCCGGCAATGTTTTGGATATGCGTGGACGATTCTGGATACAGCATATGGTGAGTGAACTGGATGGTAATGATGATGAGAGTCAAGAAATTGTGTACATCTATTTGCTATATAATTTCAATCTTAGTCACCATCATTCTTCATAATCATCTTTAAATGCGCACCAACCTTCTCTCGACCGGGACGGTGCAAGATATCGACTTTCAACAAACTTTGACCCATTTCTTACGTCATGCGTGCAAGAAAGGCAGAACACAAGAAAGCGAACAAAACAGTTTCCCTACATACAGTAGACTAATATATTGCCAAAGTCCAGGTGTGAACATGTTATAAAACCTGCTTACTAAGCAGTTTCCAGAAACAGCTTTACTGTGTGTTTATAATTAGACGTTTTACTGTCATAAATTAGATCGGGAACCGCCAGAGTGATAAATCTGGAGCATAAGGACCATTGAGAGCAGATTAAGGATATTTTGGGTTCATCTCGCTGAAGTGTTTATCTCAGCATTAACACTTCATTCGACAAGTCAAGAGGTGCAAGTACATGCGTTATATTAACGTTACGCCCAGGCCTTTCAAATGTAACGCCTGTGTGAAGTCAGAACTGGAGGTCGTGTGGCGTAGTGGCAGAGTGCGCGACTCGGAACTTAGAGTCCCGGGTTCGAGTCCTGACATGCCGCCGATCTTGTGCCTTGGGAAAGGCACTTTACACGACTTTCCTCACTCAGCTCAGGTGTAAATGAGTATTGTCCTGTCATGTATTTGCCCCCTGTGTTGGTGGCGGCATTAATATAAGTTGAAAAAACTTGAGTGTGTCGTCACCACGTCTGGTGATTACATGTTGGAATAAAAAAAATTTTAAAAAGTCAGAACTGGACATGTCACACATTCAGAACCTTCCCCCGACCACTAACGTTAACTAACCAAGGTTGGCTGAAGTTCGGGAGCAGTCTGACCAGATTTAGGATACGCCTACCTTTTTTATAATCTAATCAAATTTGAGTTAAATTTGGGTCAAATCTAACCTCTGAGCACGGCTGACTATTCCTGAACACCATCTAAATGTTCTAAACATTTTGAAACCTTCGGCTGGCACAAATGATGTGCAACACGTTGAAAACACCACACTGAATCAGCAATATTAATATATGACCCAATTAGAGTTTATGATACAAGGAGGCATAAACTAATATAAACTAATATCAACCAATCACCGCACATGTACGATGTTAGGATGGCGGAGAAGCTGCACGAGTCATCAGACATTAACCAATAAGAGTGAAGGGTACAAAATAACCAACCAATCACCGCACCTGTACGATGTTAGGATGGCGGAGAAGCTGCATGAGCCGTCCCTCCCTTCTCAGGTTCCGGGAGATGTAGGCGTCTTCTCGCGCGCTCTTCTTGTCAATCACTTTGATGGCCACCTGTCAATCAAACATTACATGACATGACATACTAGTAGAGGGAAACGTGACATACAGAACAATCAACATAATTGTTAGAGTCTACTATAGGAAGGAACGAAATTCAGATTATTTGATGAGTTCGATACTAGTATGTTCAGATATAGATTTGATATGTTCATGAACCTATGCTAAAGCATTAAAATTACCCCTTAGTGCCATCCTATTTCTAACGGGGCTCCTTGCACTTTACTTACCCCGTTACAAATCGGATGGCACTCAGACCAGCATTACGCTGGAAGTCCCATCTCAAAAATGGGACGTAATACACACTGCATTAGCAAAATATTGCAAAATGTCTGTCTGGTATGTCGAGTTTTTATTGCCCTTTGCATTTCCCGCGCTGATTTTGACGGAGGTGTTCGAAATAGAAGGTGGTTCGATGCGTTCGATCTGGATCGGTCTATCGTTATAAATCTTGAATGAGAGGGAGGAAAATATATTAGCTGATGTCGACGACAATATGCAATTAATTCTTACCTTTTCGCCGGTGACGGTGTGCAGTCCCTCCCTCACCTTGGCAAACGAACCTTCCCCAAGAGTTCTCCCGATCAGGTACGACCCGACCCTTTTCGTGTGCGGGTACGACTCCGCCAGACCGGGGGCCACCGTGGCCACGCAGGCGGGCAGGCGAGCGTCCGAGCCCGTAGACGACACGGGCGAGCCCCCGCTCACAGTCGGGAAGCGTGTGCTTTTCTCCGGCATCGTTCACGCAGATATTCCTGCAGTCAGCGGAGTGAAAATCTTAAATCGCGTGGGCCTCAATTTCTCAGTTCGCTAGAGAAGTCTTCCTTTATCGACGTATTCAGGTTTAAAGCTCTCTGAGTTTGACGTCAGTTCAGATCCGGCACGAGTGCATCCGACAACCCTTATAAGCATGAGATGAGCGCGGCACGTGGCGTCTTTTGTTTATCCAAAACTTACTTCCTCACCTGTAGGTGCAAAACGACAAAGAGAACATGCGTCATTTCTCCTTATAGCACAAGCAGTGTCGCACAAGCGAGATGCCTGGAATTACAAGTAATCTCTAAGCAGATCTTTTAGTGGAGTGCAGAGACTAGACGGGCAGTATCCATTTGTCACCCGAAGAAAAAAAGATACCACTACAAAAAAGAACGCCTGATAAAAACGCCTAACACATGCAAAAAATAAGCAAAAAACCCAAACCTCTGCTTGGAGAGTAGTAGTCTCTAGCTAGCTAAGCAGATCTTTTGATGGCTGCAAAGACTGGACTGGCAGTATCCATTTGCCAGGCAGTTACTAGTACCATTTGCCACCCGAAGAGAAAAAAAAACACTACAAAAAAGAAAGCCGGATGAATAAAAACGCTTAAAACATGCAAAAAATAAGCCAAAACCCAAACCTCTGCTTGGAGAGTAGCAGTCTCTAGATAGCTAAGCAGATCTTTTGGTGGCTACAAAGACTGGACTGGCAGTATCCATTTGCCAGGCAGTTACTAGTATCATTTGCCACCCGAAGAGAAAAACAAGAACACTACAAAAAGAAAGCCCGATGAAAACGCCTAAAACACGCCAAAAACCAACCAAACCCCAAACCTCTGCTCGGCAGCAATGCTTGATTTTATAAGCCTATATTCCAGAACCTTCGCTGCTACATGTAGCTGCTAGCGCTCAGACGAACATAAACAGCTATATATAACGGCGGGTGCAGTTTGATCCCGTCGCCATGGTGATTTACCACGGGGCTTGGTCGCCTGACAATCAGGCATCCATTCATAACTTCGTTACATCTTAGCCTCATTCGCAGACTTCTGATGCGGCGGCGTTAATTCTTTTCGTGGAGCGACGCGAGTTATGCCGCCGAGGGACGGTTTTGCCTAGTCTCTACCAGAGTAACTACGCTGGCTATATATAGGAGAATAATTGCCAGGGGAGTTTGGCCGCCTTCTAGGTTTGATTGGCCGCGCAGTTCGAATTCGGAGGGAAAGAAACTACCTCCCCGCGGTCGGACTCCCTTGGCCAATTTTACTCTCTTTCTTGCCGAATTCTACGATCCGTATTCCCGTAGAAAGGCGCCTGGTGGAGGCTAGATTTTGCCGGCGAGATGATGCGCGGAAAACGCCTCTCCCCGGTAAAATCCCTCGGCGGCAAAACCTACTCTCCAAGCAGAGGTTGTTGGGGAATGATCGTTAGCTTTTTACATATGGCCGTTTTTTTGTCGCTACCCCCACCAACGGTGGCCGGCGACCTTCTCTGGCTAATGGATACTGCCTGGCCAATTTAATACTGTCTTTTTGCCACCGAAAGGGATCTGCTTGGAGATTAGGCAAAACCGCTCGTCGGCAGCATAACTCGCGTCGCTCCCCGAAAAAAAAAAAAAACTAACGTCGCCGCATCAGAAGTCTGCGAAGGAGGCTAATTTCATGTCACCATCGGCTGACGGGCTCGTTACTTCATTTAACAATTAACTCGTTACTGACAACCCGCCTTTGAAATACCAGCGTTTTAGGAATGACAATTAGAGGTTGCAAAAAAGTGCATCTGAAATTTACTCTCCAAAATTAAGCGGAAGTTTAGGCTCTTGCTTGTTTTTAATTTGGCATGGTTTGGGGGCGTTTTTATCGGGTTCTTTTACTTGTACAGGTGTCTTTTTTTCGCCAGCCAATGGGTGACAAATGGATACTGACCTGTCAATTTGATACTGTTTTTGTAGCCACTAAAAAATCTGCAAAATTGTCACATACAAATTAAAGATCAAAATTGCATGATAAAATTGTTGCCACATTTTTCAAAATTTGTAGACCCTAAGGCTGATGTTTTTCCTATCTTTACTGTGTTTAAAAACCTGTATACTGGTGAAAATTTTAGGATGACATTGCTCTGACATTTTTTTTTAAAGATTGTAGACCCTTAGGCTGACGTTCTTCCTATTTTCACTGTGTTCTGGTGGAACCGTGTGGTGTTAACTCCGTCGAAATGCGTGCCGTTCCCACGCACGTTTAGCAGCTAATGTCGTCCGGAGTCCAAAGCTGTGAAAGTTGAGCTCGGAGGTAATGAAGGTGGATCATGTGTAAGCGACAGCGATAGCGGCTTTTTGGCAGCGTGCGTTTGGGTTTAACCGTCTTGTTTAGCCTCCAACAGACCTTCCTAAGGGGTTTTGGATAGTAGATATCGGGAAGAAGTGGGTGAATAGTTGACTGCGTCTACGGTATAATAAGGTTGACATTTCCCTCTAACTGTGCGGTAAAATTAAACCCTTTGGTGGGCTAACTCCCCTAGTAAATTATTCTCCGCATTTAGACGTACTATTTTTCAGCGTTGTGTAGTTAATCTCCAAGCAGATCTTTCGGTGGCTGCAATACACTATATACAGTGCCAAATTGGCTAGACAGTATTGATTTGGCCCAGCAGTATCCAATACGGTTGCCGTAAAAAGGGATACTGGTAAAACAAGTAAGCCTGATAAAAACGACAAAAACACGTCGAAAATAAACCAAAGTCTTAGGTTAAAATTGTTCGAATCGAATCGAATTGATTCTTTTTGATCAGGCTTTGAGCCGGCTTCGTGTCGGATCGAGCCGAATCGAAGCCGGATCAAAGCGAATCAATTCGGCTCGATTCGGACAATTTTATCCTAGTGGGAAAAGGGCCTAAACGTCTGCTTGGAGAGTACTTACTTAGTTGTTAGTGTGGTGGAGACTATAATCGACTACCCTTAGCTGTAGGCGGGCACGTGTCAGGTGGGCGGAGGGGCTTTGTGAGTGCGCACGGCTACGTCCTGTGCGAAACTCGCCTCCGCATCAGTCAACACTTTGGCATTACCGTTCTTTTGCTGAGATTTTATTCTGATGGCTCATGGCGCTTCCACTTCAACTTCAATTTTACGACATTGGTTGTAAAATACGGATATCGCACAGTTACACATCCAACATCAACTCAAAATGCACAGAGGGAAAATGGTACTACATCGTGCCAAGTTGTATCTAAGGATAACCGATTGCTTTTCAACTACGGTTTACGTTGCATCTACAGGCTTCAGAGGTGGCTGAAAAGAGTAGAAATCGGTCAAACAGACAGATAACATGCCAGGGGAGTTGGTCCGCTAAGGGAGTACATTTTCCAACTCTGAACTCAACTCCTTTATTTGGCCAATTTCTACTCTTTCCAGCCGCCTCTGAAGCCTGGTAGAGGCTTGTCTATTTGGCCAATATCTACTTTGTCCAGCCTCTTCTGAAGCCTTGAGGCTAGGTTTCAATGTCGTACTGCTTCCTTATCCCGTGATTGTACTCGCCAGCGATCGCGCCGACCAAATTACCTTACAGCAGTCGGTAAACACTTCAAACCACTTCTGTACTTGTTTGGTACAGCGTAATTGTGATGTAATAGGTTTTTCGTGCTTCAAACGGGACAAACAAACTTAAATTGACACGCAGCCGCAAAACAGGTTTGGGAAACAAAAGACAGCTTTACCAATGATTATGAAATTATATCAGGAGAGACATAACAAAACCATTGTACTGTTGTGGAGTCTAGCTACTAAAAGGAACGTCCATTTTTCAATAAATCGCATCTGGCAGGTGGGACTGTTCATTAATACTACAGAATATGCCCTCTGTTACATTGACCCTACTATACAGGGCGTACTGGGTCACAACCCTATCAATCAACTGAAACCAAAACTCCACCCACCCACCCACTCGCTTCCGATCCTCCCTGCTCATAACAAGATGCATACGAACTCCCCCTAAGCCTGCGCAACCCGAAATAATACTTCCGTAGCATTTTATTTGCTCGCATATCATGTGGCTGTTACCGCATGACGCCCCCAGTATGATTAACGTACCGCCCCTGGTAGTCAAGTGGCAAAAATGCTGACATAAACACGGCGTGCCGGTGTTGTTTCACCTGTGCCGATGTTATGATTTTTGCTCTGGAATATTTCTCACCACCGGAATAAAGACGGTACTTAAGAGTGAGAGAGTGTGGGTTGGGCGCACTGGGCGGGGGTGTTATGTCTGAGAATCTCTCACCCAGGGCGCGAGCTTTCATTTCTTGAATATTAATGATAAGTTTATGGCAAAGTCCTGCCCGAAGTCTAATTGCAAATAACAAAGATAAAAGAACATTGAAACAGGGTACAAAATAACTTCAAAATCTACATAACACAATGTAATTGTCTATAACTATAGCTATGTTTAAAACTATGTCTGAAGGGTTTGACTTCTCTTTTGTGAACCACCTCTTCCAAAATTTGTGGGTGTATTGTGTGCACGCGGTACGACGGTTTCCACTTGACATGTATATAAGCCTGTCAGGTAGAAATTGCGACGGATTGGTGAAATGTTCGGCCGTCAAACCATCCATATTGAATGACGCAAATGGCATGTCCTTCGGTACAGTCGAACGAACAGAGACTCCGGTACCCCTAATTCAACCAACCGCCGGAAAATTGGACGATAACCGTGGGAACGAAGTAAAGGCCATTTTTCTGCTAGCTTCTACCAGGCTTCAGAAGCGGCTGGATAGAGTAGAAACTTGATCTAAAAGCAGAAGTGACCATTGGCTAATGGACATTCCTCTGGCCAATGTATACTGCCTTGCCACCGTATGATCTGCTTGGAGATTATAGAAACTGGCCAAACAGATAGATAACATGCCAGAGTAGTTATACCGGCAAACTGTACTCCTTTAGCGGACCGACTCCCCTGGTATGTTGGTCTATTTGGAGAATATGTACTCTTTCCAACCGCTTTTGAAGCCTGGTAGAGGCTACAGATGTTACAACTCTGATGTATATAACCAACCAGAACTGTGGCTTTTTCTTTAGTGGCGTTTGTCGACTTCAGTCTTTCGATAAATGGAGCAGACTCTCAGCAGAATATTCAACGAATGTTTAAACGCATCTCAATGAAACATTTTTTTTTTGTTTGCCAGTAAAACCATAGTACTTACACCCTCTTCAGAA